CGCAATAATTTTTTCAGTTGTTGCGCAAAGTTATGATGTTCAATATCTATATAAATAGGTGAACAGATTTCAATGCATAAGAACAGGAAAAAAAGCAATAATAAAAAGGACATATTTTTGCCTCACAGGACATGATCCATTTTCACGGTCATGATCAGCAATTTACAACATTGGTTTACCGATCAGATGCTTCCTATGTAGGGTTGTCAAATATATAAGACCAGTAAGAGCAAGACACTTCATATGTGCAGAAATTCCAGAGAGATAATAATTAGGTTTGCGTATTAGTACGGTGCCATGAGTACAGATTTCATTGCCAAAAACGGCATTGCATCCATAGTGAGACTATGGAAAACCCATACCAAGATGAAACTCAGAATCATTGTGTTACAATTCTGATCCTGTTAAGTATTTATACAATACAACCGTTTAAGAAGTTTATACTTGTTATAATGTAGATCTAAAGTGTTATATGGATTGAGTGTGCGTGCTCTCTTTAATTTATGAACGCGATGATCCCCGTCAGTCGGAGAGTGAGTTTATCGATCAGAGCAATGATACACAAAAGCCGTATGAGCAGTCTTGAGTGCGTATCAGTCCTTCTATCTATATGCCTAGCCCAGCGAATTACCTCCGGGACACCAATAACAGCCTCTGCAATATGAATCATTATTCTTAAACATACTGGGTTTATATACCAATCAAACTAACCACATCGTTACATAAAATAGAAAACAACATGTGTACAAGATTAAGCCAAATGTGGCTGTGAATGGGGGAACAGTAATTAATTGACTGTGTATAACTCAGGAATAGTAAACCGTACAGTAATAGTCTATGGGTCAAAACAAAGCTCATAACCAAAGAAACATGAATATGAATAGTCACGTTAATTAGCAATTATACAATAGAAAATATACATATCACATTGGCCCACAAATAGTCCTCAAAGTTATCATTCATAATCCTCCACGGGATATAACATAAAGGGCACTTGATACAATATGTGACCTTAAAAAACACGTATGCTTAAATTGTTTGGGGTTTGTTCCACACTTAAGGAGAAGCTCCTTAGCTGTGCATTGAGGACGTGATGCTGACGGAAGAGAAACGAATGAACATCAATGTATTTATATATAAACCATAAATAAAATAATATATTTAATGTGAAAAGATATGAAGTATGCAATAACGACTACGCCTGCACACATCCATTATGAAATGGAAGAAGTTGCATAATGTGACCAAGCGTGCATGCTTGAGTAGCGACATACTGAGCAGGTCCCCCCGCCTTCACCTTCTCCGACATTCTTAACGAGTTAGATGTTGAATGGAAACCTTCTCAGACATCATATGTTTGAAATCGAGGATAGTGCGGTTGGGAACTAACAACACTGTTGTATTACAAACTACTTTCGACTAGATTGAGATCTCTTAGCCAACATCTTGGTTACCTCATTACGGAAGGTTTATATTATTGAACAATTCTGACAAAGTGTACTAGACTATGACTATACCCTCGCCCTCAGAAAGTTGGATATAAAATCTTGATTATCTTAAGCAGAACTTATAAGGGTAGATTTATTTTTTCGGTGCCTGCAAAACAGGATATGTGATGGTTGCCTACTCGTGGAACATCATATGCACGAACATCTGGGTGAGAAAGATTGTGCAACGTATTGAAGACGTTGCGTCGATAATGTTTTGGTACTATTGGACGATCCTTACCTGTAGATGTATCACATAGTAAGGTTTCCTTACCTGTTCCCATGTGTTTATTACGCAGTTTTAAAGTTGTCGAGGATAACTCGTGCTGAAGATCAGTGTCTTCTTTGTGAAGCTAAGCGAGTTTAAGAAGGTCGATTCCTTGAAAACTGTTCAAGGAACTAATACGAGACAAAGCGTCTGCGACTACATTGTTTGCTCCAGAAATGTGTTGTATATCTGAAGTAAACTGCGAAATGTCGAGACTCTCGCGGTGAGTACTTATCTGAAGATGAACTCAAAGAGATGGTAAGAGGTTTATGATCGGTAAAAAGCGTGAATTCTCTTCCTTCGATGGAATGTTGGAAATGATGTACAGCACAATGAATAACTAGGAGTTCCCTACCGAAAGTGCTGCACCTCAATTCAATGTCTAGCAACCGTCTCGAGAAAAATCTTAAAGGTTGGCAATAGTGGTTAACCCATTGTTGTAAGACTGCTCCGATTGCTGAGTCGGATGCGTCTACGGCGAAACTAATGGGCGCTTGAGTGTCCTGATGCGCAAGCAGGGTTGCCTTAGCGATATTTTCCTTAACTGTGGAAAATGCTTTTCGAGCGGTGTCGTCTGGACTAATTGATTTAACATTTCCACGGAGTTGGTCGGTTAACGGTTTCATAAGGGATGCGCAATTTGGCATGAACCGTCTGTAGAAACTTACGAGGCCTTTAAGAGTTCGCAAATGCTTAATCGTGGTCGGTTCTGGGTTATCCAGAATGGCCGCCACTTTGTTTCTAAGGGGTCGGATGCCTTGGGCATCAATGGTGTGTCTTAAGAAGACTAAAGAGGTTGTTCTGATTTGGCATTTCTGAATGTTGACAGTAATGCCATGCCTTCGGAGTCGTTCGAAAACAATGTCCAGATGCTGGAGATGTGATTCTCTGTCCCGACTTGCTATGAGACAGTCATCAACATACGCAAGTACGAAGTTGAGACTTCGGAAGACGTCGTCTATGAACCCTTGGAAGGTTTGAGCTGCATTTCTTAATTCGAAAGGCATTCGTAAGAATTTGTAGAGGCCGAAGGGAGTCGAACACTTTGGGGAATTATTTACAGCTACAGAACTTTAGGAAAAGTGTGTTAATAGAGCATGAATGAAAGCATTGCTAAAACTCAGTCCCTCACCATTTGAAGGATTGCCCTTTGTAAACGGAAGGTTGATCTACCCAGATTATCTCTTTGTGACATGGTCGACAATTCAACACTTCCCCAAACTGGGAGACCATGTAGCGGACCAAAGTAAATACCAACTCAAAAACGGCAATTAAATTATTCCCTCCAAAAATTAATATAATAATTTACAACTTATAAATTACGAACACAAATAAAAGTCAAGGTTTGCCACTTAAATCTGTTAGCTGGTGCGTGTTCTGTTGAGTTTGGTACCGGAATCTACAATTATAGATAATTAATAATCCTAATGAGTCTAATATGGCTCCTGTAGTAAAGCCGAGCGTAGAATGCAATGGGAATGTTACAACATTTTATGAATATAAATGATAGTTAATTAATGGTTCAGTTATCATATCCACGAACACTATAATGCTAGAGGCATGTGTATAAGAGTGTATTTATCTATGAGCAGTTAACAATGTCGTGTTGTGTAATTCAAAAGCGGAAGGAATTGTTCAAGGTCATACACGTAAACAACAAGTATAATTGTTTAATGACAAATGTACATGCAGTAAAAAATTGACAGAATAAATACAAATAACACCAAAAACTATTTACGAAATAAGTTTGTCAGGCATATCTCCATAACCGCAACAGGTCTTCGTAAGTGTTACTTACAATACGCTAGATCTGTCAGACTGTTAAAGATATTAGCGATATTAGACATCTGACAAGGACATAAACGGTAATAGGACCAATTCTGGTGTGTTGAGTACAGCAAGGCTGGTTATACTTCTTTTCCATGTTATTCGACTATTTTAGACAGATGGTATTCCGCCAAGGAAGAAGTGAGAAACAAATATATAGGTGAAAATTAGTGTCTTCAAACCGGTACCGTACACTTATAAGTTGTTTTCACTTTAGAAAGTGACGCTTTCTTGATGGCTTAAAAAGGTTTGGTAGGGAGGAGCATGATGCCTATAAAAGCTTGCATTGATAACTGAACCAACTTCATTTTTATGATTTGTGCTGGATCTTTCAAACAAAGGTTCAATATTTACTTTGGTTTCGTCGATGATAAGTGGGGTTTCCCTATGTAAGGCTCCATGATCACCACCATTAAAGTCGAACATGTTCATCCTCGGATAAAAAAATGACAACTGTAATATCATTTCAGTATTAAAATGCTCATTCCGATTACTCAGACGCAGATTATGTAAATGATTTAGTAGTACTGCATAGCGAGGTTTTGAGGGTTACGAAGCTTGTAATAGGTCATGTGTAATATACTTTATGCTATTACGAGTTCGCCTTACTCGGTAAACGGAACGAAGGACAAAGACACAGTGGCACTATAGACCATTGTAATCCGTTTTCCTCGGCCCTGTTAACTAGATCAAGAAGTCTTGATGGGGAATGTGTTGTAAACTGGAAATTGAAAACAGAAGCTGGTGGTGTGGAGATTGTAGCCTGATACAGTGTGCTAGTGTTGACTTGTGGCGGACAAAAACATTAGCAAACTGACTGAACACTCTAGAGTGGGGTAGTGATGCAGATCACTAACGTAGGTAATCTGCATCGAATTGGGAGCCTACTCGAGTTAGACACGAATGGTGTGAGAAACCAGTCAATATCAAAGTCAAACCTCACGGCTATTATTTATCGTGGTTTACCCTTTTGTCTTATTAGGGTACCATGGCTGCTTTGGTGACTGTACAAAACGAACGACGTTACGGCAGAAATATATTAACAAGATTAGGTACATGAAACAGAACGCCACCAATACCGCACGGGTCAGTCCGTGGCATGAGATTAATTAGTTAGAGTTTTGTATCATTGACCTTGGCGAGAATCAATGTACTGTTCAACACTAAATGACCCAACTGTCGAATAATTTCACTAGTGCCCAGTGACATTTTACTGGTCTAACAGTGATATGCGAAACTATTAAAGTTCATAAAACTCTAGACGCTACTTCTTAATTTTCAATGCCTCGTGTCCACCTTGTTCAGCAAATCCAGAATTTTTATATGTAATCAGTTCTTCCAATTATGACATATCTAAAGTAATGGATCGGATTTTGCCTAGTCAGAAGGAAGCAAATATGATCTGTTCATGTAGATGACACTCACTGTAGTGATCCGTCAGCGTAGCAGTTGATAGTATTGCAACTAATTTTGCGACCATAATGTGAGTGTATCACGATAACAGAAAGGTCAAGGCCAAGCATTGACAACAGTTTTGTGTACAACATCAAAGATTGTATAAATCAGATGAAATAATGAAAAATGTGGTATATGATGACAATTATAGGCAAAATTGGTCTATGTTAACCGATCACAGATACACTGGTGCGCTTATCAACACAATGCGTTACTTGCGACTTTTGTATTGGAAGCTTTTCTAATTTACAAGTTGCTTTTAATTTATCCTAAAACATGGACTTCGAGATCCAAATCGTTCATTTTTACTTGTTTGACAATATCTGTTTTTCTGTTGCGACTATGATTATTCGGTCTTATTCAGTTTCAGTTTGGAAAGGACAGGAGGCTTGATGGTCTGTGTTAGTCCTGGCAATGATGGTCTCTCAGCTGATCCAACTTTCTTTTGAAGGAGTCGAAGGATGGAGCCTCAACCACGTGCTGAGGTAATGAATTCCACTGGTTGATTATTCGATGGGAAAGTCGGTAGTCAGCTAACAAGTAATTTGTTCTGGGCTTGTGAACTTTTTTGGAGTGTCCTCGTAGATTTTCTGTTTTGGAAGACAAGAAAAATGAGGGCATATCAGGTGCAAATTTGTCATTAAGCAATTTGAAAACTATAAGTCGCGCGCTATTTAAAAAGGACAGTGGTATTTTTCCTCGTTGAGTAAATTCTATTGTTTTGATCGTTATTAACGTATCAAAACTACTGTTTTTATACTTTGATTGAATTTCTTTCAGTTAAAGTATTCTATTAGAGTATCATCTTTGGTATCCTAAATAGTTTTATCGTCGGTACTCCAGAGTACCTTTTTTTTCCATTGTGTCTGTTAGTACTTTGGTCCTAACTGTTTATAGTTTTTTTTTCTACCTGTAGTCAACACTCACTTTCGCATCCTAAAATGACTGGAAGATGCAACAAAAGCATTTGCCACCGCCCAGGATGTCGATATCCTGTTGATAGCGGCATGCAGTGCGATGAGTGCAAAGGTTGGTACCACGATGTTTGCACGAATCTAACACCTGCAGCTTTCAAGCGGTTCAGTAAAAATGGGTGTGTATGGCTATGTCAACAGTGCTGTTTGGATGCAAATAGCCCGCTAACCGAGGCCATTTCAATAGTAAATGCCGCAAAAAAGTGTCTCGGCAAGCGCGGTCGGGATACATCAGTCAGAACTCAATCTGTCGACACGCAGATTGACACAAGGCAGGCCCAAGTGAGTCCAAAAACTGCCGACCCACACCCTACTAAGGAGGAAGAACATCCTCCAAAGAGGACTGTTACAACCAGAAACTCGCGCAAAAAAGTCTCTTCTGTCCCTCGTATCAAAAATGGTACCCAGAAGGGAACTTCAGGAAGCCGAAACCGCAAGGCTCGATCGGTTTCCAGCGCGAAAGATGACCCGATCTCCCAAGTCGTCCTGACTCTTCCGGAATCCCACAGTACGCCTGACGCGAATGTGGTTACCACTTCAAAGAACGTTGGCGATTGGGTACGGGTCGTAAGAAAAAAACGCCAAAATGACGTAAAAGGAAATCATACCCCCACCAAAAGGGTCGACAAGCCGAGGTCTGATCACAGCGACAGATCAGTCATTCTCCATAGAGTCAAGGAGAGTGACAACTTAGAACCGAAAGCTCCTTTTGAGCATGACATTGTGTTGATAAAACAACTACTCAACCAAGTTATGCCCAAAAACATCCCCGGAGTCACCTTGCTAAAGGTGTATAGACTAGGAAATCTAGCGCATCTGAAACCAAATCAGTCTAGACTACTCAAAGTCGTTTTCAAATCCTCAAACGAACGCGACTTAATCTTAGAAAATGGACACAAATTAAAGGGTTCAGGAGTTTTTCTCCGTAAGGACTTACCGTTGGCGGACCGTGTTAAAAGACGGGAAGCCGAAAAGGAACTACAGCTCAGATTAGACGCTGGCGAAAAAGACCTGAAAATTGTAAAGTTTCGGGTTGTGAGGCTTCGACAGAGGATGATGCCGAAGCCACTCTGGGTGAAGCACGAGGCCACCTAAATAGGCTTCGGATCTGTTATACCAACGCCCGGAGCTTACTAAATAAGCTACCGGAACTAGGTGTACAGATTGACTCAACTAGGCCAGACATAATCGCAGTCACAGAAACATGGCTGACGCCGTCTATAGATAGTAGGGAACTTGATTTCGAGGGTTTTACATTGGTAAGGGCCGATAGAATACAAACGCGTAAAGGAGGGGGAGTAGCTCTATTCATTAGGAATGCTATTCCATTCACCATTATCGACAGTGTATCCCATGAGAGTGGGACGTATGAATTAGTTTGCTGCCGCCTGAAATGCAGGGGACAAGAGTTATTACTTAGTTTGATCTATCGCAGTCCAAGCTGTGAGGCAAACGAGGTCCTGCTAAGCAGTCTCAACACTTTATCACGAAGTGATCGATGTCTAATCTTAGGGGACTTCAATGCACCCATGGTGGACTGGGGAAATCTTCGGACTGAATCGTCAGCAAACTCCTTCGAACAGGAACTAGTTGATGCGATAATCACTTGTGCTCTAGTGCAACACGTGAAGGAAGCAACTAGGTACGACCCGGGTTCTGCATCATCCTTACTAGATCTTATATTGACTCATTATGAGGATGATGTTGCAAACCTGGATTACATGCAACCCCTAGGCAAAAGTGATCATGCAGTTTTAAGCTTTGACTTCCATATAACTGTCGATCACGAGTACACTTCAGATCAATCCAGACCTAACGTCTGGAAAGCAAACATAGCAGACATCATGAAATCACCATCATTAGTAGATTGGAAATTAGATCCAGAGTCATCAATCGAAACGGCTTGGGACGTATTCCGGAATTTATACTTAAAAGTTACCACCCCCCACATCCCTTGGACTACACCTAAGAGACCGAGAAACTCCCCACCGTGGTTCAGTAGGGAGGTTCGCATCCTTCTCCGTAAAAGAAGGAAAATGTGGGACAGATTTAGGTTACTGGGGACTGACGAGGCGAAATCTCAGTATCAAAAGGCTCGAAATACCTGTGCCTCGACCCTCCGTAAGGCCAGAAAGCTGTACGAAGAGAAAATCGTAAGGGAATCCATAGAATGCCCTAAACGCTTGTATTCGTATATAAACCAAAGGACAAAAAGAAGAAGAAATGTTCCTTCACTATGGGGAGACAGTACTGCCACATCACTAGTGGAGGATGACTTTGGCAAAGCTCAAGTATTCTCTAAATACTTTAGCGATGTATACACCATAGAAACACCCTTCTCACCAGTCCATGAAAATCCACCCACACAAGCACTGGACAGCGTAACCATTGAAGAACTCGATGTTTTTGGTCTGCTAGTTAAGCTTGACATAGGTAAATCCACTGGACCCGATGAACTGCATCCTAGGTTACTAAAGGAGTTAGCTAACTTTGTTGCGAACCCTTTAAGTGCATGTTTTAATCTATCCGTAACCCAGGGTCGTCTACCAAAAGACTGGAAGAACGCCATAGTAAGTCCAGTCTTCAAAACAGGTACAAAACATAAGCCCGAGAATTACCGACCAATTAGCCTAACTAGTGTGGTTGTTAAAATCTTAGAAAAGATTATTCGGAAGGAGCTGTTAAAGTATCTCGATGAAAACCGGATCCTCTCCGAAAAGCAGCATGGTTTTAGAACAGGTTACTCTTGTCTCACAAACTTATTAGTCGCTCGTGAAAGCTGGTGCGCTCTTAAGGACCAAAAATTACCTATAGACGTAGCTTACATCGATTTCAGCAAAGCTTTCGACAAAGTTCCGCATAACCGGCTGTTATATAAGCTAAGGAATGTCGGGATTGGAGGCAATCTATTGATGTGGATAAAAGACTTCCTAGTTGGGCGTCAACAAAGAGTAAGGGTGAACTCCAAGTTGTCTAGCTGGGAAACTGTGCTTAGTGGAGTCCCTCAGGGTACAGTTTTGGGGCCAGTGTTATTCCTCCTGTACGTAAATGATCTCCCTCGTCTACTATAGTCATCGGTCTTACTCTATGCTGATGATGTCAAGATATGGAGAGCGATACAAAGCAAGGGCGATAGCTTAGAACTTCAAAATGACCTGGAGAGATTATCTGAATGGTCCCAAACCTGGCAATTGCCGATAAACACTTCCAAGTGTATTGTGATGCATATTGGCCATCAGGGTACAGATACATACACGATGAATAACACTGAGTTACCTATTGTTCAGGCACACAATGACTTAGGCGTCATCGTTAGTCAAGACTTAAAGACTACTGCACACTGCCGTGCAATAGCCGCCAAAGGTTTTAGGACTTTATGGTCCATACGCAGGGCTTTTAGGCATCTTGATGCTAAAACGTTTTTGACTTTGTATACAGTGTTCGTACGCCCTAAACTTGAGTACTGTATACAAGCAGCTAACCCCTGCCTAAAAAAAGACAGTGAACTCTTGGAAAGAGTTCAGAGAACAGCAACTAGGCTGATTCCCGGAATAGCGAAGCTCCCGTATGGTACTAGACTGACCAAGCTAAACCTATTCCCGCTGTCCGCCAACGGTAAGTCCTTACGGAGAAAAACTCCTGAACCCTTTAATTTGTGTCCATTTTCTAAGATTAAGTCGCGTTCGTTTGAGGATTTGAAAACGACTTTGAGTAGTCTAGACTGATTTGGTTTCAGATGCGCTAGATTTCCTAGTCTATACACCTTTAGCAAGGTGACTCCGGGGATGTTTTTGGGCATAACTTGGTTGAGTAGTTGTTTTATCAACACAATGTCATGCTCAAAAGGAGCTTTCGGTTCTAAGTTGTCACTCTCCTTGACTCTATGGAGAATGACTGATCTGTCGCTGTGATCAGACCTCGGCTTGTCGACCCTTTTGGTGGGGGTATGATTTCCTTTTACGTCATTTTGGCGTTTTTTTTCTTACGACCCGTACCCAATCGCCAACGTTCTTTGAAGTGGTAACCACATTCGCGTCAGGCGTACTGTGGGATTCCGGAAGAGTCAGGACGACTTGGGAGATCGGGTCATCTTTCGCGCTGGAAACCGATCGAGCCTTGCGGTTTCGGCTTCCTGAAGTTCCCTTCTGGGTACCATTTTTGATACGAGGGACAGAAGAGACTTTTTTGCGCGAGTTTCTGGTTGTAACAGTCCTCTTTGGAGGATGTTCTTCCTCCTTAGTAGGGTGTGGGTCGGCAGTTTTTGGACTCACTTGGGCCTGCCTTGTGTCAATCTGCGTGTCGACAGATTGAGTTCTGACTGATGTATCCCGACCGCGCTTGCCGAGACACTTTTTTGCGGCATTTACTATTGAAATGGCCTCGGTTAGCGGGCTATTTGCATCCAAACAGCACTGTTGACATAGCCATACACACCCATTTTTACTGAACCGCTTGAAAGCTGCAGGTGTTAGATTCGTGCAAACATCGTGGTACCAACCTTTGCACTCATCGCACTGCATGCCGCTATCAACAGGATATCGACATCCTGGGCGGTGGCAAATGCTTTTGTTGCATCTTCCAGTCATTTTAGGATGCGAAAGTGAGTGTTGACTACAGGTAGAAAAAAAAACTATAAACAGTTAGGACCAAAGTACTAACAGACACAATGGAAAAAAAAAGTACTCTGGAGTACCGACGATAAAACTATTTAGGATACCAAAGATGATACTCTAATAGAATACTTTAACTGAAAGAAATTCAATCAAAGTATAAAAACAGTAGTCTTGATACGTTAATAACGATCAAAACAATAGAATTTACTCAACGAGGAAAAATACCACTGTCCTTTTTAAATAGCGCGCGTTATTGATAGATATCTTGGGATTACTATTTTGTAAATAATTTTTGTGTATGCCTATCTCCACAACTTCTTGTTTAGCTATTGTTTAATTGATAAATATTGAAGAAAGCATTTACTTGTTGATAACGGCTGTCTTCATAGACGACATATCTGAATCCTGCATGATTCATTGGTTGTTTTCAAGTTCTATTCAGGCTAATTTTGTAGAGACTCGTTAGACTTTTGTGAAGTCATCGCAATCAGGAATTAGAATCAACCAAATTGAGTTGGTCAAGCTTTCTTTCTTGGGGGTTTTAGTGATTGAACTTTATACATAACGTAATTTTTAAAATGGTGTTTAGATATCGACTATGTAGTCACTGTTATTATGAGCCATTTATATGAATTGGATTCATCGTGGTGTTTTGTGTGTATATTAGTCTTACTTCAGAAACTATATAGGACTAATGGATCGTGAGTTTGAACTATAAATTTCCTGCAATGTTAGATCTTGTTTAGACTGTTTCGCCAGGCAATGCTACGTGTTTGGCTCAAATTAAATTTGGACGTATACCAATTCAGTCTACAACGCTTCGTTAATCTACGAATTTAATCGACAAATTTCAATTACTTTGGAGCAAGAGTAACCCAGAAAATCTACGAGGATACTCCAAAAAAGTTCACAAGCCCAGAACGAATTACTTGCCAGCTGACTACCGACTTTCCCATCGAATAATCAACCAGTGGAATTCATTACCTCAGCACGTGGTTGAGGCTCCATCCGTCGATTCCTTCAAAAGAAAGTTGGATCAGCTGAGAGACCATCATTGTCCGGACTAACACAGGCCATCAAGCCTCCTGTCCTTTCCAAACTAAAACTGAAACCGTAGCTTTCGCTTTTTATGTATCGCTATTGTAAAGCTGACATGAAATTGAGAAAAATACGGTTGTGAAAGCTTTTTCGTCTATGTATTTATCATTACTTCTCATGATGTGACTAATTAGTTATTTTTCTTTTACTCTTTTGTTCCATCGCTAGACCTATGATCTGTACTGTCAAGTTAATTCTTATCTCCAAAGCATTTTATTCTCTTCATGACCGCCAAACAAACGATCGTGTTAAAGGTATATATAAAGGTTAAATACCGTGTAATAAGGTAAATTTCTACCTCTGACAGGATCCCAATGATTCCAGTGAAGTTTATCTGTTTAAAAGATCCTAGAGAAGATAAGCGAGTGCATCTAAGCTCATCCCAAGTCGATAATTAAATCTTCTGATAAACTAATCACTGAGAAGTCGGTTGACAAAAGCGCTACCTCCAAAAAGTGTCTATGACTAGGTACAATAAAATGTTTGACTAACAGAATTTTGATTGCTTGAACCCAGAGGTATTTAAAAATAGTGGTCTAGTTTTGTTAGCTAAGTCGATTGAGATACTGACCTGGGTCCTAGGAGTTAAACGTAATCTCATCTGACTGACCTCGATCTCTGACTTGGTTATATTCAGCGACTGTATTTCAAACTTTCAAAAAAATTAAGGTTTTTATGTTATAAATTTGAAGTCTCGTATTCATAAGATGCCTTGTCTTTATAGGGAAACTGAATATTTCGTGGAACAAGCTTCAATAGTTTCCTGTGTATTGTGATTTTAGGGAAAGTCGTCATTTCTGAACACTCGGTAGATGAAACGACCAATTAGTGACAATCACATAGTTTTCGACAATCACCTGATTGTTGATACAACTGCTCCTACAACTTCAAGAAGCTCGGAAAGCGCCAAGGATTGCAGAAAACGAAAAGCCCTTCGCATCCAATATCTAGCTGAAAGTGTACGATTGCGTGAGCTTACTGTTATAAAAATGAAACGTGATATTGACAAAGTAAGCTGTTTATCAAATTTTACAATATAATTTAACTATTTCAGTTACTCGAGTTGTGTCAGTATATAGACCAAGGAGATGTACCAGTGTCACTTTTGGAAAAGTGTGGGATATCAGTATAAAATACCAAATATTTATCAATGTTGCATGCATATAATCCGCTGGAATCTTTTAGCTTATATTATTTCGACATCCATGTTATTCGCCCTCTATTTCATTTTGATACACTTTAATGTATATTTTCTGATTATTTATATTTACATTTACATTTATACCATCTGCTTTGAATTAACTTTTAGAACGTCTAACTATAGAGGTATTTGTAATTAATAAATCTCCATTTCTCAGTGATAATAATAAACTGACGATTATGCACCATATGAATGAATGTAATATTCCTTATCTACAGTTTCACTTAACTTTTGTTCATTTTTATTGGAAATTCTAAATTGTTTATGGTGTGAATCGATATTATAAATCATTGATTAAAAATTTATACTTAGTGATATATTACGATTATATGCATCCTAGCTATTGTTCTATGAGATTTTAAATACCGGTTATCACTTGCACTACAATGTATATTTGAACACAAATCTACCTTATTGAGACCCAAGTTTATTCATGAAGGATAATCCTAAAGTACCTCAAATAAATCCAGTATCCCAACTAGTGGTTGATTATTGACTAGAGAGGACATTGCACAAACGGATAATTGTCTTTTAGTTCTCTATTATCAAGTTTTATCGTGAATAAATCAGTAATGTACAGCAGTTCCCTGAGTGGTATTTTATAAGCGTGAAAGCTGTTAAGTATAAGTAACCTAAATATATGGGTTAATGATAGCCAAATATTTATTCAGTCCATTTGACGTGCATCGTAAAGCTACCTAATTAACAATACTAACGTTAAATACAAAGTGAAAGAAGTTCAATTAAAATGTAAGAATATGATAAATACCAAAGTGGTTTAACAAATGAATATACTTTAATAAATAAGAAAAGGTTATGAATTCACTGGCGTCAGTAATACTTCTAACTTCATGCTTCGGTTGGGGCACCCGGGCAGTATCATAATCCACACACAAATCAAGTAACTTATGTGGCGCATATGTATTGGGTGCTCCTTTGTACCAATATTTATGTGTTCAAATAAATAAATAAATAGACTTCATGCTTACTCTTATACCGTATTTAGCATGTTTGGTAATGCACGCCTAATTCACTTTTTCTTAATTCTTTAACTAAGATACGAGAAAAACTAGCCAAATGAAGACGGGAATTTAAAGAAGGCCTTCAGTGAACATAATGAAATAAGTAATTATTACAGTATGTGTTGTATCTTACGAGATGAAATAGTTATTATTTAAACATATAAACATTGGTACAAGGGGAGACCAAAGTATCGACATGCCACACAAAAATGAGGTTCTGAAGAGGTAGAGAAATGAAAGTGAGTATAGTAAAAAAGAACAGCAACGAACAGAAATTATTGTATGGGGGCGAAATAATAATAATAGGAGAGGCAATTCGGGAAGAATACAACTAGAAAGAATTCTTTCAGTTAACGAAGTTGTCTTCACTTATATGAAGAAAGTAAAAGGGAGTTACAGTAGTATCATCATTGGCTTCTATTCTGCGGCATTTCCGATAACGTCTCAAGCCACTGCGTTGACCATCTCTAGGACCCAAACCAGGAAATCGTGAAGGACAAACTGAAGCTGGTCTTGTACAGCTTCCTCTCATACCACGACACCTTGTCATACACTGACCATCTCTCCGCTTTTTCCGAACCAGTTATAGCGTCGGCAAATAATACACGATGTGGAATCGTCTGGGACAACATTCATAGTACACCTCTAAGCTATCGAGGTCAGTGTTTCATGATGGTGACACTAATTGAATTATTGTCACTGTGTCCGAACACACGATTGCCAAACCTGCACATTACTAACATTGTGTTGCTACTGGATGTCAGCAGTCCTTTAGAGATAACGATGATCAAACACAGATTCGTCTATCATCCTCAACTTGCAAAGGCCAGGTTTCACAAGCATAGATCAAAACTGCTCTCACCGACGCGTTGTAGATCCGACCTTATACAGGCAGACTAACATCACGAAGGCGCCAAAGATGGTTCATATTTGTCATGAGCCCCTCTGGCTTCCACTATACATGAATCGATCTCATCTCTGACGCTACCACCAGCAAGATAAAATAACTAATAGGAATGGTTGTTAATTGCGTGGGATTATCACAACACTAAAGTCGCAATAGTTTTAAAATGCAATAAGGTACGATAATTATTTTTATGTGAAATATCAATCGTTAATATTGATTTAGGTTGATTCCAGAAGAAAGAAGTGATCTATCAACGTTTGATTCAAACTGATTACAACCAAACATCGTATTTTTGAATAAAAATATAAACCAGTTAATTCATGGGCTCATTAAACGAGAATATTAAGAGAACATATGTATAGATATGCTACTTTCGCCTCTGTCACATCATACTTAGACCTAGGAGATTCGTCAAGATAATAATCTAAATTTAACTGAAAAGTTCTTTCAGGAGATTGTTTTTTTTTTTTGAATTGTCTCAAAAACTTGCTCCACAGTCTAAAATATATGGTTTAAACGTTTTGGAAAGATTGCGGGTAAAATTTATTTATGATTGTCTGTCAATAAACATTTCAGTTGGTATGAAATATTCTACAAATAAGTTTATCCCAACATTTTCCCATTCATCTTTAGTCATGAACTAAGGATTTTTGATTAAAGATTGGTTTTAAAAATACTTGGTAACATTGATATTTGCTTCACTACAGCGTGCACTTTAGATCAGATTCATCAAGAACTTTTAATTCAGCTAAATTGTTGATAAGATTGGATAGTGGCTAGCAGTGGAATCCAGGACGCGTGTTTCGTCCTATTTGGGACTCGTCAGCTGGATGTACCTGCATCTCAGAGTTGATATTCACTCTGGGACTCGAACCCAGTAACTTTCGCTTCAAACGCCATCGCATTATCCACTTCGCTACTGAGTCCTGATAGCCACTTGCTTGTGCAAGCCACTATCCATCTTTGCTTACAATGCTTATGAAATAATGCTATATTGAGGCATTACGCAAAGTATGCACATATGCCAATAAGAGACTGATCAGTTGCAGTCCTAAACATCAATGAGGAGATTCAAACAAGTAATACTAAGTGAATTGTTGATAAGATTCTTTTTAATAAAGTATAGCTGTTATTTCATAATACATTTAATTGTATTCAATCATGTTGCGTTCTACTTTTCATCTGCTACATACTCTTCTCCATGTTGATAATACATTCATTAGTTAAACTTTACTATTCATGAAATTCCCAATTGATATACTATTCACACATAACTGTTAGTTTTTATGGTTTCTTATAGTCAAAGTGAATGCGTCTTTGTTCAATTAAAAAAAGTGCCAAATACGTATATTATCAATCACTACGCTATATTGAAATGTTTTTCGCTAGCTTGACTTTCAGTTTGGATAGTTAGTAACTGGATTCTCAATCTCTTATAAATTGAACATTTTTGGTGTTAAACTAAACTAAAATGTATTGTGAGTATATTTTATTTTATATAAACACATAAATATTGGTACAATGAAGCACCAGATAAATATGCGCCTCACAAATCTCATTCGATTTGCTTCAGGGCTGTGATACTGCCCAGGTGCCCAAACTGAAGCAGATGGTTTTCTTAGGGGCCCACACCCGGAGCCTTTGACTGAAAGATCTGATCCACAAGGCAGTGGAGCATAGTAAGGAGATGAATTCCCATGGTAGCCGGTGACCAACGGTTGATTCGTACGCCATTTTTTCCTTCAGGATACTGGATCCCATGTGCTCCATTGGTTTGGAATCAGGGTTTTCCAACTCCCCTAGGTGAACTTTCCATGTCCATCAACCCGGTTAAACCACCGGGCATTCGCTTTTCGTCCTCTTAATTTCGTAAACAACATCCCCGCCACAAGAAGGCAGTGAGTAGGACTTCCCTAGCAGGGGCTATATACGCGTGGCCATATGAGAGCATTTCGATAGGGAGTGTCGTACTTCCAGAACGTAAAGCTTATGTTTAATTAGCAAGACTTATCACTACTCAAAGAAACTGATGCTCGGTATAGAATAATACTGTGATGTGGTCTACTTATATCCATATAAGTAGTAAATAGTGTTGGTCTGACATAGAATATATTTTGACAGAAGACCGATGAGGAAAGAACTGAAACAAAACACAATCGGTAGGAAAATGCATGAACAATCGAATTAGAGAAGAAACAATGAAGATCAAAACTATTGGATGTTAATTTGCAAATTGACTGTCCAATTGTATGGTTTTTAGAATTTACTGAAATAGTCTGTAATGTTTGCTTAAATACATTCGATTGTCCCTAATTAGTGTTCTGTTCACTACTAACTGTATAGTAAAGTCTTTAATAAACAAAATAATGAAAAGTACAAATGAGAATACAAAATTTATGTTCAATTCAGTTAATTTATTGACATTATCAATTGAGTATTGTTATATCATAATATATCGATTATATAACAGGATAATATGCAAAATTAGCAATATGACACATATTTTTATAATTTCTAGCTAATTTGATATAACCATGATCACCGAATTCTTCACCCAAATTGAATTTAACTAACCAATATGGAATATCATTTTCTATACCATAACCTACAACTAAAACTGATTCGAATGGTTCTTCATTTTGACAATCATCGATTAATAAAACTCCACTCCTATAAAATAGATAATAAAAGTATTTACTTACTTATTTCAAAAAAAAACAACAACAACAACAATGGAAACTTTTCAAATTAAGTCAGTCAGTCAATCACAACGTAGAACTTCGTATGTACGTACGTACATCAGTTCGAGTTGCCATACCACATTAGCACAGAGATGAAGTTGTCGATTCAAATCCCATAGTGGTAGAACTAGTAAGAGTTTAAGCATTATGTGAAAGATTAGGGTTTGAAGAAGTCATTCAAGGAGTATAATCCAGCGAAATAAATTTCGAAAGAGAAAAAAGATAGTGACATGAAGGATTCAGAAGATTAGAATTTGGCAGAACACAAAGAGTGGATGCACCTTCTCCTTGTAAACGATTTTGAGCCATGTCATTCAAGGTCTCTAACCATCGGTTGTTATCATCTCGAGGATCCCAAGCAGGTATTCTAAACCTACCAACATGGCTCAGTCCAACTGTCAGTGACTTCATGAATTTGTGCCACGTTTTGTTCTGGTCGCCCCTAGCTTTCTTACAATCTAGTCCTACAACATAAAACATTGCATGTCGGTGCAGTCGGTCGTTGGGCATACGTAACACGTGTCCCAGCCATCTCAACTGATGAAGTTTCACTACTTTCCAAATTAAACACCTTTTAAATTAAAAAAACAACAACTTGAAAGTAACTTGTGTTATTAGGCATCGGATTCAACATTTTTTGGATCTGATTGGTATTAACATGGATAACCGTCTTATAGACTTTGGAAGTTTAAACCTCACTCTACCTAGTTCGGTTTGAGCTGTCATTTGGTCACATTAGTCTTCATTTAAACAGTTTAACTCAGAACTGACCACATAAAACTATACCTGGTTATTGAGTTTGAAGATGCGACTAGTATTCTGATTTTACAACTAGCTACCAGTAACACCTTCTATGTACGAAGCGTTCCCCTACCAATCGAAATCAGAAGTTAGATGCGAAGAGGTAGGAAAGATATATTTGATGCATTATCAATATATAGAGAAGCGTTTACTCTAAGCTGGCTAGTGAACGTAGGAGCAGTGTCGCACGCTGGGTCGGAACGTGGTCTGTTACGGATGCATGACCGAAAGCCTTCAGTTAAACAAGTCCACTTAAACAACGTGGTCAGCATCCAATGTCGAACACTTAGAAAGCTATTGATTTTGGGGAATTATTTACAGCTACAAGCTACATAGCATCATGATGAGAATGGGTTAAACTTGAGACTCTACATTAATTCAGATCATTCGTTTTAAAAAATAATTTGCATAATCTCCAATTCAAATCGTTTAAAACTATTGATATATTGAGAACCATCTTTAGAGAGACTGAATATACAATTTCACTTGCTTATGGAATAACTTTGAAAGTGAACATGCAATGGCTTATATGGACTAAAGAAGTGGATATTATATAAATTTCTCTATCCTACAATTCAAGATGAAGTTATCACATTATGATTTCAAGATGGAATTACCTTGATAACTAACGAAAGATAAACAGAAATATTTCATGGAAATGCTTGGTCTGTAGTATAGACAGTTGATGATCTGAGAAACAAATCAGAATTGATTAAAATCTACGAAATAAGTAAACAGTATTCATTGAGTGTTGTTTGTTTTCAATCTTCCCATTGATGTTTAGGACTGCAACTGGTCAGTCTCTAATCGGCACATGTGCATACTGTGTGTGTGTTACCTCGATATAGCCTTAATTCAAAAGCATTATAAACAAAAATGGATAGTGACTAGCAGTGGAATCTAGCACGTGCGTTTCGTCCTATTTGGGACTCGTCAGCTGGATAAATACAGGTGTTGGTAACAAGAAAGGGGTGCTTGTCAACCTTTGATTGAGTGATTGAACATGTCGTTTTACACAGAATTAAAAATAAAATAAATGAATTCATGCTATTCTGTTAGAATCTTTGTTCTTGGTCTTTTCAAAATGATAAAGGGAACTATGTGCATGAAATACCGTATTTAGCACATATACTATATGACGAATAGGTTGTTAGTGCTCATCTAATCAAAACATCATATTCTTAAACGTATTGCCAATTTACATTTCATAAAAGTATTTCATTTAATTCTGCATAATTTACCTATTTCACACACATGTATTTAGATATATATCTTTTTAAGATATAAGTAATGTAAGAGAAACTTTTTGAAGTATTGTTTATTGATGTTTCCATATTGTACTAAACATATTACTTACTTACGCATATTACCCGTCGTGGAAGAACACAGGCCGCCCAACAGTATTCTCCATCCAACTCTGTCCTCAAAAATGTTTTCCAGTTATCTCCAGTTAACATTCATCCTTTTCATATCTTTTTCTATTTCCCGGCTTAATGTGTTCTTTGGCCTGCCTCTTTTCCGCTTCCCGTCACCATTCCAAGTTAGTGGTTGCCTCATGATGCAGTTTGGTGATTTCCTCTATGTATGTCCTATCCACTTCCAACATTTTTTCTTAATTTCCTCTTCAGCTTGAAGAAGGTTTGTTCTCTCCCATTAAACGCTGTTGCTGATAGTATCCAACTCCGCCTGTAGCTCTTCTAGAGTTACTGCCGGTCCCAAGCCCGGGTAAAGGAGGAGGGTTGGGCATGGGGTTAGCGACCCCATCCCGTAGAAAAGCTAACTCGCTAAAAAAAAGCTAACCAGAAAAATACTTCAAACCATTTAAACTCTGTCCTGGGAGTTGAAGGAATAATGACGTCTCATGATGAAAGCCGAAATTCTTCGGAAGTCACGAGACCGATGCACCTTCTAACAACCAGAGCAACACTCTTTACAGGTACATGGAACGTCCGGACAATGTGGGAGACATGAAAGACCAGCCAAATAGCAATGGAAATGAGGAGATACAACTTGGCAGTACTCGGAATCAGCGAAACCCATTGGACACAAACTGGACAACAAAGGCTAGGTACAGGAGAGATGCTGCTGTACTCCGGTCACGAAGGGGAAAATGCTCCACACACTCAGGGAGTTGATCTAATGCTGTCCAAAGAAGCACGAAATGCACTTGTGAGATGGGAATCTTATGGACCCAGGATAATCAGAGCATCATTCAGAACAAAGAAGCAAGGGATCACAATGAACGTTATCCAATGTTATGCACCCACCAATGATAGCAACGACGATGATAAAGATCAGTTCTATGAAAGGCTGCAATCAATTATAGAGAAGTGCTCACGAAAGGACCTGACCATCCTGATGGGAGATTTAAATGCTAAAGTTGGAGTGGACAACACAGGATATGAAACTGTAATTGGACGACATGGATTAGGAGAGAGAAATGAAAATGGGGAGGGACTTGCAAATCCATGCGCATTCAACAAATTGGTTATAGGCGGCACAATATTCCCACACAAGCGCATACACAAAGCTACATGGATCTCACCGGACCACACCACAGAGAACCAGATTGATCACATCTGTATCAACAAAAAATTCCGAAGATCAATGGAAGATGTGAGAGCACGGAGAGGAGCTGACATAGCTTCAGATCACCACCTGGTTGTGGCCAAGATGAGACTGAAACTTAAGAAACACTGGAAAACTGGACAAACAGCACTACAAAGGTTCAATACAGCCTTCCTTCGAGATATTGACAAGCTCCATGAATTCTAGATAACTCTCAACAACAGGTTCCAAGCTCTACAGGATCTACTGAATGAACAAGAAATTACTTTGGAGGACAACTGGAAAGGGATAAAAGAAGCACTAACTTCAACGTGTCAGCAGGTTCTTGGTCCTAAGAATCATCATCACAAGGAATGGATCTCTATGGGAACTCTGGACAAAATTCAAGAAAGGAAGAACAAGAAACTAGCAATTAACAACAGCCAAACACGAGCAGAGAAAGTCAAAGCACAAGCAGACTACGCAGAAGCAAACAGAGAAGTGAAGAAAAGCATTAAAGCCGACAAGCAGAAATACATGGGAGAACTAGCAACGGCGGCGGAAAAAGCTGCAAGGGAAGGAAATATGAAACAACTATATGATACAACGAAGAAATTGGCAGGGAGATATAACAAACCAGAGAGACCAGTCAAGGACAAAGAAGGAAAGACAATCACTGAGATTCAAGAACAGAGGAAAAGATGGGCAGAATACTTCGAGGAACTGATGAATAGACCAGCCCCATTGAACCAACCGAACATCGAAGCAGCGCACACTGACCTTCCTATAGATTTCACTCCACCAACGATCGAAGAAGTCAAGATGGCCATCAGACAAATCAAAAGTGGGAAGGCGGCAGAACCTGATGATATACCAGCAGGAGCACTGAAGTCAGACATTGAAATAACTGCAAATATGTTTCAGCTTCTACTCAAGAAGATTTGGGAAGAGGAACAAGTGCCAATGGACTGGAAAGAAGGATATCTCATCAAGATACCAAAGAAAGGAGATCTGAGCAAATATGAAAACTACAGAGGCATCAGTTTGTCATCAGTACCAGGAAAAGTTTTCAACAGAGTGCTGCTGAATCGGATGAAAGACGCAGCAGACGCCGAACTTAGGGATCATCAGGCTGGATTCCGTAAGGATAGGTCGTGCACAGACCAGATTGCGACACTACGGATCATCGTTGAACAATCAGTTGAGTGGAACTCATCACTATACGTCAGCTTCATCGACTATGAGAAGGCGTTTGACAGCGTGGATAGGAGAACATTATGGAAACTTCTTCGACACTATGTAGTGAGTTCCTGAAAAGATTGTCAACATTATCCAAAACTCATACGATGGACTACAGAGCAAAGCCATGCATGGAGGACAGCTGATAGATACATTTCCAGTAAGGATCGGAGTCAGACAAGGCTGTCTACTCTCCCCATTCCTCTTCCTTCTAGTGATTGACTGCATTATGAAGAATTCGAGATCTGAAGGGAAATACGGAATACAATGGACAGCTCGGAACCAATTAGATGATTTGGACTTCGCAGATGACCTAGCCCTCCTCTCTCATACACACGAACAAATGCAGATGAAAACAGCAAATGTAGCAGCAGCCTCTGCATCTATAGGCCTCCACATTCACAAAGGAAAAAGCAAGATTCTCAAATGCAACACGGAGAACACCGACCCAATCACACTTGATGGCGAAACTCTGGAAGAGGTGGAAACATTCAAGTACCTGGGGAGCATCGTTGATAAACAGGGGGGATCGGATGCAGATGTAAAGGCGAGGATTGGCAAAGCAAGGGCAGCATTTCTACAATTGAAGAACATATGGAACTCAAAACAACTCTCAACCAATTTCAAGGTCAGAATCTTTAATACGAACGTCAAGGCAGTCAGTTCTACTGTACGGAGGGAGCTGAAACGTGGAGAACTACTACGGCCATCATCAGGAAGGTACAAGTATTTATAAACAGTTGTCTATGCAAAATACTCAACATCCACTGGCCGGATACCATCAGCAACAGCGTTTTATGGGAGAGGACAAACCAGCTTCCAGCTGAAGAGGAAATTAGGAAAAGACGTTGGAAGTGGATCGGACATACATTAAGGAAATCACCAATGTGCATCACGACTCAATCCCTAACTTGGAATGGTGAAGGGAAGAGGAAAAGGGGAAGGCCAAAGAACACACTACGCCGGGAAATAGAGGCAGATATGAAAAGGATGAATAGCAACTGGAAAGGAAGGCTCAGGACAGAGTTGGATGGAGAATGCTGGTGGTTGGCCTATGCTCCTCGACGAGGGGTAACAGGCGTAAGTAAGTAAGTAAGTAAGCTGATAGTATCCGACCAGTAAATGTTGAGTATTTTGTGTTGAGAGTTGTTTATAAATACTTGTGCTTTGTTGACGATGGATTTAGTAGTTCTCCACGTTTCAGTTCCGTTTTGACGTTCGTATTGAAGATTCTCAATTTGAAATTAGTTTAGAGTTGTTCCGCGTTTCATATGTTCTTCAATTGTAGCATTGCGATCCTTGCTTTGCAAATCCTCGCCTTTACATTTGCATCAGATCCTCCTTGTTCAATAATGATTACTAAACATATAATATTAACCTAAACCAATATTATTACTACATCACTCGATGTCTGTTATAATCGGGAGGATACAATGAGAAATTCATCGTTTAAATCTATTTTCTTTTCTTGATTAGCATCTTCCTTAGCTAATTTGGCCTTTTTTTAACACTTTTATTGACCTCCTTGTTTGTGAAATTACAAACACTCGTACTGTAATGTTATGTAATAAATTTTAAACATTTCTACGTTATGAGTAACATCGTGATGTAACGTAGGTAACATTTCGTGGATGAAAAAAAATCATCCTAACAAATAATTATTTCCATAGTTGTAATCATGAGTCAATTGAAGCTAGACTACCAAGGAAAACCTGGAAGCACTGGAAAGCCGTTTCGTCCTGTCACGAGACTCCTCAGCAGTGCGCATCCACGATCCCGCACTCGCGAAATTCGAACCCAGGACCTACCAGTTTCGCGTCAGAGCAATTGACCGATAGACCACTGAGCCGGCATCCAATGGTGTTAACGTCTAACTTCAACCAATCCACGATGTTTGAGCAACCGTTCACCAGCGAGTGCGTGATCGTGGATGCACACTGCTGAGGAGTCCCATGATAGGACGAAACGGCCGTCCAGTGCTTCCAGGTTTTCCATGGTGGTCTAGCTTCAATTGACTCATGATTTCAACTATGAAAATACTGAAATCTACACAAAACCCCTTCTGATCAATGAATAATTATTTATAATTTAATTACCCGTAAGTGAGAAACTCCTGAGTCATAGCAATTCTTACTGCTATAGGGCCAATGTTATATACAGCTTTTTGAAGCTCTTTCTCATTATCATCCACTTGTATGTATGAGGATATAGTTGTTACTTTCTTTGATGAATCATATGTACAATTTCCAACCTAAAAAGATGTTAAAAAGACATTCAAAAATTTTCGGCTTAAGATTTTGTAGAATAAATCATATTACTTACATACTTACTTGCGCCTGTTAACCCGAATGGAGCATAGGCCGCCGACCAGCATTCTCCAACACACTCTCTCATGCGCCTTCCTTTCTATTTCTATCCAATTGTAGCTTCATTCTTCTCATGTCTGTCTCCATTTCTATGCGTAATGTGTTCCTTGGTCTTCCTCTTCCCCTTTGACCTTCAGGATTCCATGTGAGGACTTGTCTTGAGACGCGGTTTGGCGATTTCCTCGATGTGTGTTCTATCCACTTCCAGCGCATCTTCCTGATTTTTTACTCCACTAGATGGAATCTGGTTTGCTGTCTCCCACAGTAACTTGTTACTGATGGTGTCTGGCCAACGGATGCGAAGTATCTTGCTTAGACAACTGTTAATAAACACTTGTATCTTCTGGATAATGGCTTTCGTAGTTTTCCACGTCTCCGCCTCATACAATAAAACTGTGTTGACACTTGTTTTACAACAAATCATACTGTGAAACAATATTTCAGAGAATATCTCTGATATTCTATTAGCCTTGTGAATGTATGGTGACAATTACTAGTGTAGGATCTAAATGTTTGAGAAGTGTACTATGAGTTCGACATTTACTTTTGGTTAAAAAAAATGACTACTTATTCCAGTGCATGGTTGTATACCATACTATGATATACGTGTTCCTAAATGATGTTTGAACAAAGCCAGAAAAACAACTGAGGTAGGCTTTATTCTATTTGAAAAAGAGTATTAATTCTATGGATTGGCGGCCTGTTTGAACATCTGAGCTACTTGTTCCTGTCATCTATATATTTCAACAAGTTATCTGTCTTTTGTTTGTTTTAACACATCATTATGTCTACTAATCGCATAACCTATTCAGGCGCGTTTCTGAAAAGTTTACAACTTTTTGTTGTACAAGTTGCAAAAGACACAATCAGAGATATCGTGGTTGATGGCAACATGCAGCGAAAATGATGTACATTATTCAGATATCGATTCCTGAACTGCTAACTTCTAGCTTGAGACCATTCAGTCTTTATCGTCAGGATTGACCAAGAAGTAAGAAACGGTAACTTATTGAAATACTTTGTGCTGAGAATTCTATACCGTAACAATAATATAATACTGAATAAAGCTAATAAGTAGATTTAAAAAATAAACAAATAAACAGAAGTTTCTAAATAATAACATGACAAACCGTACTTGTATAAGCATAAGAAACTTTTATCAGAATAAGGGATTCAAAAATATTAAGTCAAAGATTGGATTTCATTTTGTATCCAATAGTTAGTCTTTAAACCATAATTGTAGTTTAAATTTTAATAGTCTGTTGTTTTATGGCTTTGAATAATACAATCATCAATGATATACTTACTTTTCCAGTAAAAGGATAATCTTGTTGAGATTCTACACCATTCTGTTTTATAAAATCAAATGCTACGGATACTGGATTCTCCACACACTCATGATCTCCAGCACAGTCTACCAATTGTTGCGAAGATAATGGAGTAAGAGTTCCTGTCTTGATTTTGACTTGCCCTTCCAGCGCTTCGATTGAGGCAATCGCCCATGAAGATGCACAGTCTTCCTATAGAAAAAGATAATCACAATTTATATGAGTTAAATCTGTAGATAGAAGACGTTCTGAGGATATCCTAGTTGTCATGGATAGTCTGTCAAATAAATACGTGAACTTATTTACTGAAGTTGTCAGCTGTCAACGATCTTCGATTCCTTCCACCCCACTGAAAACATCTGACCTCTGATTACCGGCGAGATTTTCGATTGGTAATCTGAATTAAAAGAACACCTGAATATTATTCCGGAGAATTACTTAGGGTTAACAAATTTGTTTCAAACCTACGGAACGTGATTAGGTGAACGGAATATACCAACTGATTAGTAAAATGAGAAAGATAAGTTCAATGAAGAGCTCTCATTTCAGCGAATTCATTTTGAAAGCTGTACATTCGCAAATATACATACTACTTATCTTTCAAAATGATAGTAATTACAATAATAATGATAATCAAATCCTGCTAAATATGATAACAGTGAAACAGAATAAACAAAAGCATAAAAACGTTATTTTGATCAAAAGAAACTAATGGTAACTTTTTTGTCCTATTATGAGACTCTTCAGCAGTGCGCATCCACGATCTCGCCTATGAAAGTACTATGAAAATACTAAATCTTAACAAAAAAACCCTTCTGATGGTAATTTTTTATTGAGATCATGATTGGATGAATGTGCACTGCTGAGTAGTTCCATACTAGGATGAAATGGCTATTCAGTGTTTCCGTGTTTCAATGGTGGACTTACATTCATCTGTTCATGATCTTAATAAAAACTCAACATTCTCCACAACCGTATACTAATAATAACTTTGTTGACAGCATGAACATCCATCATAAAGATAAATAAGGAGATTATAGTAGAGAAGAGAAGGCTTAGTGTGGTAAGATAAAATGTTGAAATTCAGAAGAATTGTAATGAGGAAGATCACAGGAACGTAAAGAAAGCATTTGAGGACAAACGGTTTATAGAGATGATAGAAGGGAAGCAGATAGTGTCGAAAGAAGAAAAGAATGAAGGAGAAAAATATTACGAGAGTATAAAACCATGGTAGAAGAAGAAGTTGTACCAGTTTCTTTTGGACACATAATCCTGGCTTTTGCAGAAGTATAGCTATTATTTTGATAGTGTTAACAAGATGGAATATAGCTGTTTTTGGCGTCTTTCTATTTGTCTTGTAGGTGACTTTGAACACAGAGATCTCTTTGATTGAATGACTTATGTTATCAAGTTGTTCGATCATTGAACTTCTTATTGAGCCATTCCCACCTCTTTCCAACTGAGCCGAGTAACGTTCTCAAATTCTTTTTGATAAGATAAGCATCGAACGACCGATTTGACAAATACATTACTTACTTACTTATGCCTGTTACTCTCAATCGAGTATAGGTCACAGAACAGCATTCTCCAACACACTCTGTTCTGGGCCTTCCTTTCTAATTCTGTCCAATTGTTGTTCATTCTTCTCATATCTGTTCCCATTTCTCAGTGTAATGTGTTCTTTGGTATTCCACTTTTCCTTTGGCGTTGATGATTCCAAATAAGAGCTTGCTTTGTGACGCAGTTGACTGCTTCCCTTAATTTGTGTCCTATCCACTTCCACCAATTCTTCCTCATTTCTTCCTCCTCTGAATGGAATCTGATTTGTTCTCTCCCACAATAGCTTCTCACTGATAGTGTCTGGCCAACGGATCCGAAGTATTTTGCATAGACAACTGTTAATAAACACCTGTATCTTCTGGATGATGACTTTCGTAGCTCGCCAGATTTCCGCTCCATATAGTAGAGTTGTCTTGACATTTGTATTGAAAATTCTGACTTTGGTGTTTGTTGAAAGTTGTTTTGAGCTCCAGATGCTTTTCAGTTGTATGTATGCTGCTCTTGCTTTGCCGATCCGTGCCCTCACATCTGCATCAGATCCGCCATGTTCATCAATGATGCTGCCCAGATACAAATACATTCTTCCTTTTTAATGTTTCCCATCAACTTAGCATCCAAATACTGTCAAACCATTTGATCAAATTTAGATGAACTTTCTTATAAAAAGAGGATTGATATACTTTAAATCTTATTAAGTAAAGTCTTCATGACTACAATTTTTGCATATTATTTCCTGGACACACTATTTATTCAATGCAACCATGGAAAAGAATAAAATTCTCAGGAAAAAAATAAAAAGGAATGAAGCATGTTACATCCTAGTGAAGACATAAGTACAGGTAACCCCCAGAACATATTAATGGACGATTATTCTATACATATTCTTATTGTTTAAATATTGAGTAACTAGATCATGTATATCTATATTTCTCTTGTTATAAGCTTCATTTTGACCTATAAATTATTATTATACGATTTACTGTTCCTAAATTATACTCGGTTTATTGAGTACTGTCTCCCACGCTTACAACCACATTTTGACTTGATCTTGTACAAATATTATTTTCTATTTTACGATGTGATACGGTCTATCTGTTTGGTATATAAACAGAGTATTCTTAAAATAAATGATTCGCATAGATTCACACAGCAGAAGCTGTTATTAGTGTTCTGGACTCAACTGGAAGGGCTAAGGGAATAAAGGACCAATAAGGGCGCTAGACTACTCATACTGGTCGAACGTCATTGATTTGGCACAGTATTAAGATTAAACACGTCGTATTCTGACTGATGGATAATTCACGTGATAAGAAGTCAGATATGAGACCACAACAAATTGGCAATCGCCTTCTATTAAAAGTCATAACAAAGCATAATTTGATAAATAATATATAAAAAAGAAAAAGAAGAAACTAACTTGTGTCTTCACTGGTGTTACTGTATCATTGTTTCTCCAATCAACATAATCTGGTAAATTATTATTATTATCATTATTATTATTATTATTACGTAATTTATTCATTTTTTTTATATTTTTGAAATATTGATTATTTTTTTTAATTTTTTGATTATAAAATTCATTCCAATTTATTGCTGTATATTGATTTATTGATTTCCGATAAGTTTTTATCCCTAAATCATAATATAAATTATGTAATAATATTTTTTGTACATTTAATTGCCAATAATAAAAATTTTTTAATTCATTAGTTTTTTGATAATACTGATTATAACGTAGTTGCCATGTCAACCATAATAAATAATAATCGATAGTATTATTATTATTATTATTATCCCAGGATTGATTATATAATTCACAATTGAAAGATAAAATCAAGAATGATGATATAATAATAATAAGAAAGTTTATAATCATTATGAATGAAATTTGCCAACAAAAAAAGATATTCAAGTTGTCATATGAAATGAGGAGACATTCATATATATATGGATATATATGTAGATATAACCTCATAGAAACCAATGTTCTCTCTTTTTTAAAATAAAAAAAAACTCTTAAAATCTGTTATTCTACATAGTAACACAATGAAACTTATAAATATAGTTGATAATCATAGTAATGGGGTAGTTTGTTTTTTGATTATTCAATACAAATAGATTGTACTTTGGACTAATGATTTCCATATCATGATATGATTATGTAAGGTTAATTTAGTTACAAATTGTAATAAATTAGTTAAATAATTATAACTTCACCCCCCCCTCCGATTGCACAAACAGGTGTCTATCAGCAATTAGTAGCTAAGTGGATAACATGATGGTGTTTGGAGTGAATAGTGATGGATTTAAGTCTCAGAGTGAACATCAACTCTGAGATTCAGGTATATTCAGTTGACGAGTTTCAAATAAGACGAAACATGCGTCATGGATTCCACTGCTAGCCACTATCCATCTTTGTTTATACATAGTTGACAATTGAAGTCGCATAATATTGTTTGTTTGAATCTTCCCTTTGATGTTTAGGACTGCAACTAGTCAGTCTCTAATTGGCATATGTGCATACTGTATGTATTGCCTCGATATAGCCTTAATTCACAAGCATTCTAACGAAACGCGCGTCCTGGATTCCACTTCTAGTCACTATCCATCTTTGTTTATAATGCTTTCGAATTAAGACAATATCGAGGCTATACGCATACGTACATATGCCAATAAGAGATTGACCAGTCGCAGTCCTTAAACATCAATGAGAGGATTCAAACTAACAATACCAAGTGAATTTAAACTTCACCCCATTGCACAAGCAAGTGGTTATCAAGACTTAGTAGCTAAGTGGATGACATGATGGTGTTTGAAGCAAATAGTGATGGGTTTGAGTCTCAGAGTGAACATCAACTCTGAGATGCAGGTACATTCAGTTGACGAGTTTCAAATAAGACGAAACATGCGTCCTGAACTCCACTGCTAGTCACTCTCCACCTTTGATTATAAAGCTTGTGAGTTAAGACAATATCGAGGCAGTCCTCACAGGATGCACATACATCAACAACAGACTGATCAATTACAGTCCTAAATAACAATGGGATGATGCAAGTAAACAACACCAAGCGATTGTTGGGATACATATTTATAAAGATTATTTTAGATAATAATTTTACTACAAACTGATTTCAATCAGATAATTATTGAGAATAATGGAAACTTGATTAGGTATCTAGTTCAAGATTTTGACTATTTAAATGTATTCACTCAGAATACTGTCAATGATCAACTTCACAATCTCTACATCTTTTTATAAGTAAGATATATTGACAACAATTAGTTAGAATTTAACGTTTCAGCATTTATGAATCTTAGTCACTAAACAACATTAAAAGACTATTGGTCAATATCATTGGTAATATCTCTTTCTTGTTGAATTTTGCCGAGAATAGTATCTCATTGAATCGGAAGATGTGAACCCAGTAGTCTATCGTAATTCTCAAGTTGCTTATAGGCCGTAGATATTATTTCTAAAAGCGTAATATGTTTAAACTACTGAGGATTTCTAGTCTACCATTGGATAGCTGTAATCTACTTTTCTGTTTTCAACAGTCATTTAAATGATAGCAGATGCAATTTGTTGAGTAAAATTTATGTCTACAATTCTGGAGTCAGTTATTGACTCACGGCCTCAGGTGCCCTGGTACGGCCGAGAGTGGGGAGAGTCCGCCATCCTTCTCCGAATTCTCACATAGCCATGCGTATATAGCCTCTGTCAGGGAAGTCCTACTCACTGCCTTCTCATAGCATTAATGTTGGTTACTAAATTGAGAGGACGAAAAGCGAATGTCCGGAGCTTTAACCGGGTTGGTGGACATGGAAAGTTCACCTAGGGGAGTTGGAAAACCCTGATTCCAAACCAATAGTGCACATGGGATCCAATATCCTGAGGGAACAAATAGCGTATGAATCAATCGTTGGTCACCGGCTACCATGGGACTGCATCTACTCACGATGCTCGACTGTCTTGTGGATCAGACCTTTAGGTCAAAGGCTCCGGGTGTGGCCCCCTAAAAAACCACCTGCTTCAGTTTGGGCATTTGAGCAGTATCACAGCCGTCACACAAATCAAATGAGATTTGTGTGGTGTATATATATCTGGTGCTCCTTTGTACCAATATTTATGTGTTTAAATATTGACTCATGAAATTTAGGGACTTCAATAGTTTGTTTGTGAATGAACTCATAAATATAAATATACATCACCAACCGAAGAATATGAACAACCAATTCATTTTATTTTAGAACACTTTGTTAGTGAACACCTATGACTTCATTGGAATTCAAAACCTCGATATTTCATTGTAAGGGTTATACCAGGTAATGTTTGGATGAATGTAGAATTCTTAAAAACAGTAATAATTGTAATCTCAGAATTCCAATCATTCTCCGTAACTTCATCTCACAATTAACTGTGTACATAAAAATTCACTAACAGTAATCTTTGAAAAATTCAACTGAGAATGTATTGTAGTGATATATTTCTGCAAAAGTGTATAACATCAACGAAATACCATCAACGTATACTTAGAGGCGGCCAAACCAAAACGTGGCATCAGTGCTTGAAGTCACTAACTTCTAGTCTGAACCATGTTGGCAGTTGCAGACTACTTGGTTGAGGTCCGCGTGACTATCGTAACCAATGGTTGGAGACTCTAGGTGACATGGCTCAGAATCAATCACAATGGCGTAAGTGTATGACTTTTTATCTTCCCTTAAACTGTGAGATTAAAAATGCTTCGTAACTTTTTTTCCTTCCTATACTAGATCCTTATTTACAACCTTTCTTTCATATACTACCATCACTAAATGAACTACTTCTATGAATTTGGTGTTCATCTTGTTGTGCTAATGAGCTATGGCAACTTAGACCGATGCATATATGTGCCTGGTCTTACGTTGTAGCTGACTGACTGAACGTATACTTAGGTCATCATTAGTATTGACTATATACTGAACTCCCTTAAAAACTTTTTAAATGACAAATAATAATCAAACAAATCGATAAGGATAAATGAGATCGAATATAATGATGAAATGAACGTAATTACCATTGAAAATAAATTTAGAGCCTATATAATTCAGCTCCGAAAGAAGATGACATTTCACCTTTTCAATGGAGCGAACTCATTCTCCTGATTTGTTTTCCATTACTGAACTATTTATGTTATTTATGGCTCAAACTTCTCATTAGAGGTGAATCTTCAGTGAAGTTACGGATTTTCAAGTACCTCATCTACTACGATGTAATGAAGGAAGTGAAAAATATAGGTTTACCACTTTTCTGAACACCCTTTTTGTAAATCTAAGGGTTTTTCCAGATATTTAGGGGTTAGATTTCATATCATTTGTTCTCTTATTTCTATTCTATCTTTGTTTATTCTACAGATCAACTGTTATATACTTTCTTTCAAATATCGGTAAACATACAAATATCGTAACTGATTTACAACTGAAAGGAAGCCATAAAATAAAATACGAATTTATCTTATGATCGCACTGATGGAAAGTAATCATTCTAAAAATGAACAAAGTCTTCATGAGTAGTAGTCAGAAACACTAATACTGTAGTGTGGTCTACTTATATCCATATAAGTAGTATATGGTGATCGTCAGACATAGAATGTATTTTGGCAGAAGACCGATAAAGAAAGGAACTGAAATGAAGCGCAATTGTTAGGAAAATGCATGAACAATGAAATTAGACAAGATGCATTGATATTTACAGAAGGAACAATTAAGATTGAGACAATTGATTGTTATTTTGCAAATTAATTGTTCATTGTATGGTTATTAGAATTTAGTGAGATAGTCTGTAACTTGTGCTTGAAGACATTCGATTGTCTATCACACGTGTTCTTTAAACAAACATACGATTCATGTCATTAGGTCAAATCAAAATACTCGTTGATTGATGTATAAAGCATTGAGGATTTATGTTGGTAGTTAGTTGTTAACGCTATATTGGATACTGTAAGACTCAATATTGATCATTACATCATAAACAAGGGCAATTGTTTAAAAAGTCGCTTCGATACATATACCTGTAGTACTTTTATACTTCAGCTTAGTACAAACAGTTTTCCTGATGAGGATTAAAATTTTCATAGTCGATTAGTTGAAACAAACTAATTGATGTTCCCCTATGTTAACAGATATATTATGTTGTATCCCTTGAAGAATTATGAATGATAACTTTGAGGGCTGTTTATGGACCAATGTGATATGTCAATTTCCTATTGTATAATTGTTAAGTAACTTAACTATTCATATTAGTATCCCTCTTCTTATAAACTTTATTTTGATCTATGAACTATTATTATACGATTTACCATTCTTGAGTTATACCCACTCTATTAACTACCATTCCCCCTATTCACAGCCAGATTTGACCAAATCTTGTACAAATGTTATTTTCTATTATATGGTAGGATATGGTCTGTTTGATTGGTATATAAACCCAGTATGTTTGTGAATAATGATTCATATTGCAGAGTCTGTTACTGATGTTCTAGACTCAACTAGCTTGACTAAGCAGATAGCATGGACTGTTAGGTACTCAAGACTTCTCATATGGCTTTTGTGTATCATTAGGCGATCAATAAATTGGCGGTCTTATCACGTCATATATCAAACAGGGCACATGCACCCACTCAATCGATATACCTTCACTACAGTTAAAAATCATCATTTATTGTTTACTTAAATTTATCAAAGGCACTGAGAAATTGCCGCATCTCAGTGGATTGAATTTTGAACTACAAGTGATCATTGACCTAGTCAATTATAAAAAAATATAATTCAGAATTTATAATTCCGTAAATTTTGACTAGGTATGTTAAATAGCGAAGACAATATTCTGCATAGCTTTTGTTTATACAATAGACTTTGTTAACACTTCTCTTTAATAGTTGAAAGCGTGAGTCAATTGAAGCTAAACCACTATGGAAAACCTGGATGCAATGGACGGCCGTTTCGTCCTATTATGAGACTCCTCAACAGTGCGCATCCACGATCCCGCACCCGCGAGATTCGAACCCAGGACCTACCTTATCTTTAAACTTCTTTGTAACTCAGTATTTCTGAAGCGAATGATCTGTTAGTATATTTTTTCGCTAGTTCCAAGTTAACTTATTTTATAAAACAATTTCGAAGTTCACAGACCAGTGTCAGTGTAGTGAACAAGACACTAGTTGGGGAACAATCGAATGTATTTAAACACAAATTACAGACTGTCTCACTAAATTCTGATAATAGGACGAAACGCACGTCCTGGATTCCAATGCTAGTCACTATCCATCTTTGCTCACATACAATGAACAGTTAATTTGCAAAATAACAATCAATTGTCTCAATCTTCACTGTTCTTTCTGTAAATATCAATCCATCTTCTCTAATTTCATTGTTCATGCATTTTCCTAACAATTGCGCTTCATTTCAGTTTCTTTCCCTATCGGTCTTCTGCTAAAATACATTCTACGTCTGACGATCACCATATACTACTTATGTGAAAATAAGTAGACCATACCACATTAGTAACCAGCTGATAGACTATTATTATTATTATTGAGCTCTTACAATGTTTTTGGAAAACAAACCAGAGACTTTAGAATCATTGTTATTTTTGTGTGTAAATAGCTGACTACAGAGCGTATCTGTAATTTCAGAAACATTCATTTACAGGAGACTATTTCTACGACATAAGCACACTAATTGTATTGGTTATCGAACGACCAACGTATATGTGCAAATATTTTTTGCACCATGTTAAACAACTCAGTGATTGAATCGATAAGTAAGTTTTAGGAATTTCAAATTCTCCACATGGAACCCGTCCAGGGTTACTGTCGGCCTCAGGTACGGCCAAAGAAGGTAGTTTTTTCCTAGAGTTAATAACCCAACCTTGTAAACAAGAACCTTATAATAGACGCTGACTAGAGAAAAACATTTAAACCAATTACACCATTCCAAGTGAGTTCAATATTTTTTATATAGGAGTGAAATCGGAAGTCTCCAGAAATCACGAGGCTGATGCTGTTTCTGATGATCATACCAACAATCAATACAGGGGCATGGAATATACGGACTATGCGTGAGACTGGTAGGCCAATCCAGTCAGTCACAGAAATGAAAATGTAAAATCTAGACGTGCTTAGAATGAGTGATACCCACTGAACCCTAGCTAAATAGAAAAGAAAAACTACAAGAGGGTTTTTATTGTATTTTGGCTTTGACGAAGAAAATGTCCTACACGTCAGACGTTTGACTGATTTATCTACAGAAATGCAGAAGTAGCTTATAGGATGGAAAATAATTGACTGCAGGATTATCAAGGCATCCTTTTAAACAAGAAAAGGGAAATGATTACAATTGACGCTATCAAGTACTATGAATCACTAACAAGAAGAATGAGGATGATAAAACCAGTCTATAATAGGCTGTTGTTCATTGTAGCGACATGTCTAAAAAGTGACTTGGCCATCATAATAAGGCACCTAGATGTTAAAATTGGGGTCGGAAACATTAGGTATGATGACGTCGTTTTGTGTCCGGTGCCTTAATTGGGCTGGTGGACACGGAAAGTCCGCCCAGGGTAGTTGGAAAGCCCTCATTCCAAACTAATGGTGCACATGGGCTCCAGTATCCTGAGGGAACAAATGGCGTATGAAGCAGTCGTTCGTCACCGGCTACCATGAGACTGCATCTACTCACGATGCTGTACTGCCTTATGGATCAGACCAATAGGTCAAAGGCTCCAGGTGTGGTCCTCTAAGAAAACCACATGTTTCTATTTGGGCACGTGGGTAGTATTACAGCCCTCACACAAATCAAATGAGATTTGTGTGGCGCATATGTATCTGATGTCCCTCTGTACGTCTTTTCTTGACCAATAATCAAATTCTCGTCGGAATCGATAATAACCGCAACATCTATCCGATCTAGACATTGTTTAAAATGGAAAATGATTGATTACATAATACATAGATCAGGAACTCGTGTCACCTATGAATGCTTCAGTTCTGCATAAATTAATCAATCTTTTATTTTTTGCTAATGAAATATGTTAGAATCAATTCTGTGAACAATTAAAAAATATTTTCTTAGTTGAAATCATAAGTCAATTAGATGTAGAGCACCATGGAAAATCTGGAAGCACTGGACAGCCGTTTCGTCCTATTATGGGATTCCTCAACAGTGCGCATCCACGATCCCGCACCCGTGAGATTCGAACCCAGGACCTGCCAGTCTCGAGCGCGAGCACTTAAACAACAGACCACTGAGCTGGCATCCAACGGTTTTAATGTCTAACTTTAACCAATTCAATTAAAAAGTAGTAAATTTATTAAATTGAAAAATATTTCTTCTAGTTATCAAGCAGAATGTAAATAAGTTCAAACAAAAAGAAAAATGTTACTGTGTACAACACTGTGAGAATTTTCAACAAAAAAAAACAAAAAAAGTTGTTGCCAAGGGAAATTTCAAAAATATTTTTTCTGTATTTTTCACCTGTAAACATTTTTTTATTTAACAAAAAAACTTTTTTTTATTCATTTTCATTTCGTTTCATAATTTCTGGATTAAAATAACGCCAAATATAAATTTTTCCATCATTTGATGCAGAAAATAAATAATCACCATAAATCTATGAGAGAAAATTGAATAATAATAATGATAAATAATTTTTAATCAAATTGTTAATACTACTTATTATCATTAAGTAATACGAACTGTAATTGAGAAAATAGTTTATGAGATCATGAAAATTATTTGTGCGAAGATCTTATGAAATTTTAGTGATTTTATGGTTGAAATCATGAGTCCATTGAAGCTAGACCACCATAAAGAGCCTGAAAACACTGGACGGGATTCTTCAGCGATGCGCATCTACGATCCCACCTCGCGAAATTCGAAACCATGACTTATCAGTCTCGCGCGCGAACGCTTAATAACCATACCACCGAGTCGGCGTCTAATGGTGGATGCGCACTGCTTAGGAGTCTCACAAGAGGACGAAACGGTCGTCCAGTACTTCCAGGCTTTTCAAAGTGGTCTAGCTTCAATTGATTCATGATTTCAACTATGAAATTTGAGTAGACAGCCTTGTCTGACTGGAAATGTATCTGTCAACTGTCCTCCATGCACCACTTTGCATTGTAGTCTGTCGTATGAGTTCCGGATAATGTCAACGATTTTCTCAGGGACTCCCCAGGTCCACCGTAGTGTCGAAGAAGTTTCTGTAATGTTTTCCCGTTCACACTGTCAAACGCCTTCTCATAGTCAACGAAGTTGATGTATAGTGACGAGTTTCACTCAACTGATTGTTCGACGATGATCCGTAGTGTCGCAATTTGGTTTATGCGCGACCGATCCTTACGGTGACTCATGGATCTTTCACTTGTTCAGCAAAACTGTTGAAAACGTTTCCTGGTACTAATAGTAGTGTGATGCTTTTGCGATTCTCACACTTGCTCAGACCTCCTTTCTTTGGTGTCTTGATAAATTATCCTTCTTTCCAGTTCGTCGGCACTTGTTCTCCCTCCCAAATCTTCATGAATAGACAGTGGAGCATGATTGCAGTTACTTCAATATTTGTTTTGAGTGCTGGTATATTACATGGTATATTACTGGTATATTATCAGGTCCTGCCGCTTTCTTGATCTTGATTTGTCTGATGGCCATCTTGAGCATTTCGTTATGATTGATTGCAGCCTCTAGTAGAACTGATCTTTATCGTGTTCATTGCTACCATTGGTGGGTGCATAACATTGGATTCCATTCATTGTGATTCCTTTCTTCTTTGTTTTAATGATACTTTAATGATCCTGGATCCGTGAGATTCCCATCCTACAAGTGCTTCTCTGGACAGCATTTGAGCAACTTCCTGAGTGTGTGGAACATTTTTCTCTTCGTGACCGGAGTACATCATTATCTCTCCTGTATCGCTGATTCCAAGTACTTCCAATTTCTATCTCCTCATTTCCGTTGCTATTTCACTGGTTTTCTCGGTCTCTCACATTTAACGAACGTTCCATATACCCATAAAGAGTGTTGCTCTGGTTGTTAGAAGGTTCATCAGTCTCGTGACTACCGAAGAATCTTAACCTTCATCCTGAGGCCTTATAATTCTTCCTTCAATTCCCACGGCACACTTTAAATGGTTTGAGTTATTTTATCTGGTTAGCGCAAGATACAGCAAGATTTTTTCCACATGGTAGGGTTGTCAACCCCATGCCCAACCCTCCCCCTTTATCCGGGCTTGGGACCGGCAGTAACGCTAGAAGAGCTACAGGCGGAATTGCTTATATCATATCGTTATTGAAATATCTAATAAACAAGAGAGTATAGGGTAAGTTTTCTAATACAATTAATGTATATTCAGAAATCTGTTTCATTATTAGACTAAGCCAATAATCTTAAGTAAAACAAAAAAAAACGAGTTAGGGATTTCGAATAAAACTAGATTTACTACAAGATCCTAATTGTCAATTTTAAATCCAAATAAATGTTGAGCATTTTTATGGGAGAGGACAAACCACCTTCCAGTTGAAGGGGAAATTAGGAAAAGAAGTTGGAAGTGGATCGGATATACATTAAGGAAATCACCAATCTGCATCACAAGGCAATCCCTAACTTGGAATGCGGAAGGGAAGCGGAAAAGAGGAAGGTCAAAGAACACAGAGTCGTAGAATAGAAGCAGATATGAAAAGGATGAATGTTAGCTGGAAGGAACTGAAATGGATTGCCCACAACAGAGCTGGATGAAGAATACTGTTGGGCAGCCTATGCTCCTCCACGAAGGGTAGCAGGCGTAAGTAAGTAAGTAAGTAAATATTGAACATACAGAATACCAAGAAGTTTCACTAAACAACTTTACAAGTTGTTAGATACTGTATTGTATTTAATGGAGCATCTGTTGACGAAAGCATTATTTACTAAAACGGATGTTGACCGGAATCAACCAAAAACTTATATTTGTCCATAATGTAAAATATCCTTACCTTGAACACGATACAACTTTCTTGATTTGGATGAATTAACTTCTTTAATAATTCACCTGTTTTTTCATCAAACAATCTTACACATCCATCACTACAAGCAGTAATGACTAGTAAACATTTTTTAAAAGAAAGTAAGAATAAGATTCATTTAAGTAGTATATAAAGTAACATAGTCATATAACTGGCTAAAGAACATAGTAAATGAATGATTGATTAAAAAGCAATTGAGAACTAGCTAATGAAACTTTTCTACTGCCAATTATGGTACCATTTATCAATATCCTAATTATTTACTTACTTACTTACCCCTGTTACTCCGCCTGTACCTCCTCCTGGGGCTACTACCAGTCCCAAGCCCGGGTAGAGGAAGAGGGTTGGGCATGGGGTTAGCGACCCCATCCCGTAGAAAACCAACTCGCTAAAAAAACGCTAACCAGAAAAAATGATTCAATATCCTGATCGTTTAATATTATTGAATATCCAAACTTTTAGACATATTTATGCAAGTATCCCAGTAAGAGTATGATGTGGGTTACTTCTACCCGCATAAGTAGTATATAACGATTGTCGGGCATTCAATATATTTCAGTAGAATATCGATAAGGAAAGAACGAGAACGAAGCGTGATTGATATGAAAACGCACGAACAGTGAGTCAGTCACAACGTAGAACTTTGTACGTACATACATCAGTTCGAGTTGACATACCACGTTAGCACAGAGATACAGTTGTCGATTCAAATCCTATAGTAGTAGAAGTAGTAAGAGTATAAGCATTAATGTGAAAGATTAGAATTTGAAGGTGTTATTCAAGGAGTAGAATTCAATGAAATAAATTTCTAGAGACAGAAAAAAGGTAGAGGCATGAAGAATTCAGATGATTAGAATTTGGCAGAACACAAAGAGTGGATGCACCTTCTCCTTGCAAACGATTTTGAGCCATTTCATTCAAGGTCTCTAACCATCGGTTGCTGTCATCTCGCGAATCCCAACCACGTAGTCTACACCTATCAGCATGGCTCAGTCCAATTGTCAATGACTTCATGGATTTGTGCCACGTTTTGGTCAAGCCGCCTCTAGCTTTCTTCCAACCTACTCCTACAGCATAAAGCATTGCACGAACAATGAAAGCAGAAACGATGGATTGATATTTGCAGAAGGAACGGTTAAGATTGAGACAATTGACGAATAGTTTGCAAACTAACTGTTTACTGTATGGTTGTCAGATTTTACTGAGATAGTCTGTAGATTTGTGCTCAAATACATTCGGTCGTCCCCATCCTTGTTTTTGTTCAATACAAGAGTATAACCTATAAACAAATCCATAGTAAATATGTTAAAAAGATGGTTATGATATGGATTATGAAAACCTAATTAGGCTAGATTGCTCAATAAGATGGTGGTTGGAGGTGGTCAACAAGAAACCCTGGACCCGGGTTTCGTGCTACCTGGCACTCGTTAGCAAGGTGTACCTATAATCTTGAGGGAACTAGTGCTCCCTAATGGATTCGACCTCATGTAGGACTGAAATTGCTCAATCTAAATTCAATACTTTCCTCATCATTCTCAACATCATAAATTAAAAATAAAAACATAAATTTCAATAGACATTGAGTTGGTCATTACCCTTGTATCCTCCAATAGTAATCTCGTTAATTATATCGTCTACTAGACATTATTTTCACTTCTTCTAGCCTATAACCCCACCAGTAATATGGGCGATTAAATTATTGTAACTGGAACTATAATGAACAAGAGTATAGCTGGGGACAATCGGATGTATTTTAGTATAAAATTACAGAATATCTCAGTAAAATATGACAACCACATAGTAAATAGTTAATTTGTAAACTATTAGTCAATTGACTTAATCTTCACCGCTCCTTCTGTAAATATCAGTCCATCGTCTCTGATTTCATTGTTCATGCATTTCCGTACCAATTGCGCTTCGTTCCTGTTCTTTCCTTATCGATCTTCTACTGAAATACATCCAAGGCACGACCATCGTTATATACCACTTATGTGGATATAAGTAACCCATACCACAGTAATCTGTGTCATTAATACTGTTTGACCTAAATTTCATTTGAAAGTTCAGCTTACTATATAGAGAAATTTTAGATTGTTTTCAGTCATCTACACTTATTATTACAATTTGTTGTTTTTTAAAAAAAACCCGTTAATGTTCATCATTGACTTACCCATTCCTTCATGATTTCTAACATAATTCACTGAACGAGTATGTTTTGAGAATACTCTTATTTGTTTACCAGTTTCAATAGACCATGATCTTGCTGTATGATCAATACTTCCTGTATATAACATTTTATTATTAATCTGAAATTTTAGATAGTACAGTAAAAAGAAAGATAAGTTCGTCATGGAAGTAATCAATATCACATAAAGTTAAACAAACAGCATCCAATACTGATTAACCTAACCTAGTGATTATATCAATATAAATCGATCATGAATGAAAACTAAAGAAACACGGTTTGGATTACTAATCAATACTCAAACATGGTAAATATTTTACTCTCTAAAAGTGGTTAGTAGGGTTTAAAATAGCTTTCGAGATGATGGAGAAGATTTGTAGCTTAAGTGGGTGATTTTGATGTGGGTTTGTTCTCTGAGCTGGATAGTTTGGTCGTGGAGCTTTCATCGTCCTTCTGAACGATATCATCAGGACAAACTTCGGGTAGAATTGAAGTGTTCCTGTCAAATGAGAAGCACCAGTGTTACAATGAGAGATGATATCATGAAACTATTTAATTTTGATGTGGGTTTGTTCCCTGAGCTGGATGGTTTGGTCGTGGAGCTTTCATCATCCTTCTGAACGACATTATCAGCACAAACTTTGGGTAAAAATGAAGTGTTTGAATTTCTCCACATGTGATTCACAGCTTGTCCTATGCACCTCGATGTTGATTAGTTCAAGGACAAGTTGTGAATCACATGTGGAGAAATTCAAACACTTCATTTTTACCCAAAGTTTGTGCTGATAATGTCGTTCAGAAGGATGATGAAAGCTCCACGACCAAACCATCCAGCTCAGGGAACAAACCCACATCAAAATTAAATAGTTTCATGATATCATCTCTCATTGTAACACTGGTGCTTCTCATTTGACAGGAACCATCGGTTCTCTGAAGATTGAAAATTTTTTTGGATGACAAGTACCAACCATCATAAAACATTGGTCCAGATCTGTGTGCAAACTTCCTCTTACTTACTACTTACGTTATGGTTTCCAAATTGCATATACTGAGCACTTAAAATGCCTAAAAGATTTTAACTTTTAATCGGTTAGCAAACTCCATAAGTAATTTATCATCGTTAACATTAAGATAACTTTAGTAACCAAAGATAGAGTAGTGGCAATCAAATAACACAGTGTATTTTATGTTAATTAATCAGCAACAAAAAAGAGATAAGCAAAGTAAAATAGCTATATGATGCGCTTTTCTCCTTCTCTGAAATAATGAGAAAGGAATCTTAATGGAACTTGTAAGCATCGAATAAGTCGTGTGTCCAATTGAATATTAATGTATACCATTCCGATTTAAATAGAAAAAACATATGTACTTCGTGAATTAAAGATTCACACTTTGTCAATATATCACCATCTTATTAATTCATCGGTCTTTATAATGATATAAACTATTCCAAGTATTGGATAGTGGCTAGCAGTGGAATCCAGGACGCGCGTTTCGTCCTGTTCGGGACTCGTCAGCTGGATGTACCTGCATCTCAGAGTTGATGTTCACTCTGAGACTCCAAACCAGTACCATTTGTTTCAAACGCCATCGCATTATTCAATTAGCTACTGAGCCCTAATAGCCACCTGCTTGTGCAATGGAATGAAGTTTGAATTCAATTAGTATTGTTTGTTTGAATCTTCCCACTATCCATCTTTGCTTAAAATGCTTGTGAATTAAGGTTATATCGAGGCAATACGCATAGTATGCACATATGCCAATTAGAAACTGACCAGTTGTAGTCCTAAACATCAATGGGAAGATTCAAACAAACAATACTAATTGAATTTATTCCAAGTATTTATACTGAATAAATTATCCTATATATCCTCATATTATTGCCTGTTATAATAACTGACAGCTAATTTCATCGAGGATATAATTCAGCCATTGTTCAGGTACACCAAGAGATGGATTGAATAGACTTTTTTATATTTTGAAATCAATATTTCCCAGTAACCGTCATTTTGAGTAATGAAAATACGGAATAAATACTGATAACATCCTAGATATGAAAAGAATTTCTGTTCTTGTCGTTAAGTACTTCATTTATAACTAATTTATAGTTCTTTCTAACTAAATTAGTTTTACTTTAAGTGTTTACACGGATATTCGCTTTGAATCTCGTGAGGCGAGGTCGTGGATGCGCACTGCCATTGAGGAGTCCCACAATAGGACAAAACAATCGTCCAGTGCTTCAAGGTTTTCCTTGGTAGTCTAGCTTCAATTGACTAATGCTTTCAACTATGAAAAAAAGAACCAAAGAAAATCAGAGATTCCAGATCACATTACTGAACTTACATGCATAGAGACAATTGTTCCTTTATGTCCAACAAATACAAATTGTTGTACTCCAGATTCTGTAAACCAACTGCGTATAGTATTATCAATAGATGCGGTTAGCAGAATTTCACCATCTTTAAATGTTTCTATTGCTGTAATTGGTTGTGTATGACCTTCAAAAGTGACAATACATTTTGAAGTTCTAAGACTCCATGATTTAGCCGTTCGATCAGCTGATCCTGTATAAACACGTTCAAAATGTCGAGCAGTTGAAAACATTTCAAAATTATTATCATTTCGAAATATATTTGCTACAGTACCAAAATAAGTAACTGCATTGACAAGACGTGTATGCCCCTTGAAAGTATTCAAAATGGCACCTGTATGGAAATTCCAACAAATAGCTGTTTTATCCTGTGATCCACTTATAATATAGTCGTTGACGCATATGATTTTTCTTACCACGTCCTTATGGCCTACAAATACCTGGAAAAATATTTGGGAAAACTAAAGTTTAAGTAAATTGAGTGGAGGTACAAGGAGTAGACGAAATATTTATGATGGATGGATGAAATCAGTTCCAAGTAACTTTACTATTTGTATGGCCTTTTCGTCACAGATCAATTTCGGCTTAGTTACAATTAAATATCAGAGAACCTAGAACCAAGACAGCTATTTCCTCCTAGTATTCAACATTATGTTTTAATTTAAATTCATTTAGTGTTGTTTGTTTGAATCTTCCCATCCATGTGTTAGGACTGCAACTGGTCAGTCTCTAATTGGCATATGTGCATACTATGCGTACTGCCTCGATATAGCCTTAATTCGCAAGCATGGTAAGTAGAGATGGATAGTGGTTAGCAGTGGAATCCAGGACGCGCGTTTCGTTCTATTTTACAATCGTCAGCTGGATGTATCTGCATCTCAGAGTTGATGTTCACTCTGGGACTCAAACCCAGTACCCTCGCTTCAAACACCATCACGTTATCCACTCGGCCACTGAGTCCTGATAGCCACATCGATGGGAAGATTCAAACAAAAAACACTAAATGAATTTAAACTTCACCCCATCGCACAAGCAAGTGGCTATCAGGACTCAGTGGCCGAGTGGATAACGTGATGGTGTTTGAAGCGAGGGTACTGGGTTTGAGTCCCAGAGTGAACATCAACTCTGAGATGCAGATACATCCAGCTGACGATTGTAAAATAGAACGAAACGCGCGTCCTGGATTCCACTGCTAACCACTATCCATCTCTGCTTACCATGCTTATTTTTTACTGTTAGTTCAAGTTCTTTTAGGCCAATACGAAATGGATATGTTAAACTAACTTTCAAACAATTATATCAACATTACTTATTTACGCCTGTTACCCGAATGGAACATAGGCCCCAGAACAGCATTCTCCAACACACTCACTCTGTCAAGAACCTTCCTTTTTAGTTCTATCCAATTGTTGTTCATTCTCCTCACATTTGATATCATTGAGCTGGAATATGAATATTCTTTCAAGTCCATTTGTAACGATATACTATGTTTACTACCTATTTACGATTACGTACTTAATATTCCATTGAAATTTATGCCTACTTTTCTCTTAATCATTCTTATTTACATTTATAATCTAATTTTTTAAATATACTTGAAATCATGAGTCATTTGAAGCTAGACCACCGTAGAAAACCTGGAAGCACTGGACGACCGTTTCGTCCTATTGTGTGACTCCTCAATGGCAATGCGCATCGCGACATTCGAACCCAGGATGCGCACTTCTGAGGAGTACCACAATAGGATGAATGTGAATGAAACGGATGTCAAGTGACTCCAGGATTTCCATGAAGGTCTAGCTTCAGTTGACTCATAATTTCAAGTTTATATAAAAAATTACTTGAAATCTTCACAGAAAACCCCCCTTATAATCTAATTGTTTTATTATTAAATCATTTATGTTGGTTAATGTTCATTCATTGCATTGTTTTAATATATAGTTAAATATTACGTAAGTAATCGTATGTTTTACTCATTTTTGTTATATCCTAATGAAGATTAAAGTACGGGTAACTTCCGGGGATCTATTGATGGACGATTATTCTATATATTCCTATTGTATGACTGTTAAATAACTCGATCATGTGTATCTATATTTTTCTTGTTATAAGCTTCATTTTGACCTATGGATTATTATTATACGAATTACTGTTCCTAAATTATATTCAGTTTATTGATTATTGTCTCCCACGTTCACAGCCACATTTTGGCTTGATCTTGTACAAATATTATTTTCTATTTTACGATGTGATACGGTCTATCTGTTTGGTATATAAACAAAGTATGCTTGAAATAAATAATTCGCATAGATTCGTATAGCAGAAGGTGCAATTGGTGTTCTTGATTCAATTGGAAGGGCTAGGCGGATAAAGGAACAATAAGGACACTAGGCTGCTCATACCGGTTGAACGTCATTATTTTGGCACAGTGCTAAGATTGGATAAATCGTATTTTAATTGCTGACTAAATCTCGCCATAAAAGTGGATCATAAAATGAAAACAATTTTTTAAGATAGTTAATCGCTGAAAATCACAAAAACAGTCTATGGTGGACGGTGGCGCAACTTCGTGGATTGGTAAAAGGTTCAACATTAACACCAGTGAGTGCTGGTTTATTAGTCTAGAGGCTAAGCGTTCGCGCGCTAGACCGACTAGGTCCTGGATCCGAATCCCGCTAGCGGGATTGTGTATGCTCACTGCTCAGGAGTCCCACAATAGGACGAAACAGCCGTCCAGTACTTCCAGGTTTTCGATGGTGATTAAGCTTGAACTGAATCATGATCACCACTCTATAAAATTACTAAATTCACCAAACTCCTTTTGATAATGATCATATGCTCACTAGTGACTGGCTCCATAAGGTATTTCCTGGAGTTCTAGTGAATAGCAGCAACCACTGGAGTTCAACCAGATCTGTTGGGAGATATCAACTCACTGATGACATTGATGAATAGTTACTCAATTTCAAGGATCGGTTGAAGTTAGACATTAACAACGTTGGATACCAGCTCAGTGATCTATCGGTTAAGTGCTCTGACGCGAGAATGGTAGTTCCTGGGTTGGAATGTCTTAAGGCAGGATCTTGGATGCGCACTGTTGAGGAGTCCCACAATGGGACGAAATTGCCGTCTAGTGCTTCCAGGTTTTCCATGATGGTCTAACTTCAATGGACTCATGATCTCAACTCTACTAAAATCTCCACCAAAACCCTTTTCTGATATTAGAAAGAAGAACACAACAACAACAATATCGACAGTAAATCTTACGTATTCACATTTTCCTGTATTAAAATTCCATTTACATATTGTATTATCAGATGATGAAGATATTAAATAATCATTATGAAATATTAATTCAGTTATATAACCTTGATGATTATGTAATCTATGTGTACATATTATATTAGATAGATTTAATGAATTCAATTGCCATATACATATAATACCATCATCTGATCCTGATGCTATAATTAAATATTTTTCATTAAATGCTAAACAATTAATACACATTGAATGTTCGGAACATATTTGTATTAAATCAATATTAGATGATAATTTAGGTAAACTAGAATTGGATCCCATTAATTATTGATTGATTGATTTCTATAATGATATGAACAATAAATAGAAACTGCAATGGAATGTAAATTATAATATGATTATATAATAAATTGATCAATATAGTTGAGATTATGAGTCAGTTGAAGCTAGACCACCATGAAAAACCTGGAAGCACTGGACAGCCGTTCCGTCCTGTTGCGCGACTCCGCTGCAGTGCGCATCCATGATCCCGCACTCGCAAGATTCGATTAAGTGCTCCGGCGTAAGACTGGTAAGTCCTGAGTTCGAATTTCGTGAGGCGGTGTCAAGGATGCACACTGCTGAGGAGCCCCACAATAGGACGAAACGGTCGTTCAGTGCTTCCAGATTTGACATAGTGGCCTAGCTTCAACTGACTCATGATCTCAACTATATATGTATGTGTGTATGTATATCACTGAGAAATATACTCTGGTTTTTAGATTTTTGATGGATATCATTAATCACTTACTTAGTTACGTCTGTTACCCGCCAATAGAACATAGGCCACGCAACGGCACTCTCCAACACACTCACTTTCTCATGCACCTCCCTTCTTAATTGTATCTAATCGTCGTTCATTCTTCTCATATCTGTCTCCATTTCTCGGTGTAATATGTTCTTTAACCTTGACGATTCCAATGTGAAGGCTTGCCTTGTGACGCAGTTGAGTGATTTCCTCAATGTGTGTCCTATCCACTTCCACCAATTCTTCCTGATTTCTTCCTTCGCTGTAGGGAATCTGGTTTGTTGTCTCCCACAGTAGAATGTTGCTGATAGTGTCTAACCAACGGATCAGAGATATCCAAGCAGACAACTGTTAATAAACACCTGTATATTTTGGATGATGACTTTCATAGTTCTCTAAGTTTCCGAAACATACAGTAGAACTGTTTTCATATTTGTATTGAAAATTCTGAATTTGGTGTTTTTTGGGAGTTGTTTTGAGTTCCAGATGTTTTTCAGTTGTACCTCTGTTGCTCTTGTTTTGCCGATCGGTGCCTTCATATCTGCATCACATCCAGCATGTTCATCAATGATGCTACCCAAATATGTAAAGGGTTTTACATCCTCCAAAACTCCTTCGTCAAGTTTAATTCGATAGAGAAGCTTTGAAAGATTATATCATTGTAATCAGTAATATATTTGATGACTTATTCATTATAACATGGACTGTGAAGAGTTAATACTTTATCCATTGATTAATAAACAGCCATAACAATTATAAATAGAGAATAAAATCGAGTTGTATTCATGATAGTTTACAAAGGCGTACACTTTGACTCAAATAAATGATCAGCAGTGTTTCTAATCAGTAAGGATAGAAAACTAAAGGTCAAATAACCTATTTCGAGTAATAAGGCCTACAGTCTATATCAGTGGTATTCATATAGAGAAAAATGGTTTTCTAATTCAAATGGTTAGTTTTCTAATGATAGCGTTTTTTAGCGAGTTGATTTTCTACGGGATGGGTTCGCTAACCCTATGCCCAACCCTCCTCCTTTAGCCTGGATTGGGACAGGCAGTAGCCCCCAGAGGAGCTACAGGCGGAAAGAATGCTGGTCGGCAGCCTATGCTGCATTGGGAGTAACAGGTGTAAGTAAGTATGTAAGTTTTTTAATGATACTTATTATTGTTATTATTCAGTAGTACAATCAAACAGTCTGTATTGAACAGATCATATCAATATAATGTTGTGTCATAAATTTGAGTATATTTGATATATAGCTAACAGTGAATTAAAGCATTTCATTCTATTAGAGACTCATTAGATGGAAGTACTTGCATTTCAATTTGATATTGACTTTAAAATATTAATCCAGTATTTTTTCATTTCAAAAGACATGAATATTCAATTAATGTTAACACAATTAGTATCTTAATCCTATATACAATGAGCCAATTGTTTAAATCTAGAATTTCGATATAAGTAAGTATATAACCATTGATTATTAGTTTCTTTATAACGGTTGAGATCATAAATCAATTGAAGCTAGATCATCATGGAAAACGTGGAAGCACTGGAAGGCCGTTTCGTCTTATTGTGGGACTCCTCAGCAGTGCGCATCAACGATCCCTCATCGCGAGATTCGAACCCAAGACATATCAGTTTTGCGCGTGAGCACTTAACCACTAGACCACTGAGCCAGCCGGCATCCAACAGTGTTAATGTCTAACTTCAAACGATCCACAAAATGGAGCGACACATCTACCATTGTCTTCAGTAAGTTACTATCTCATAACAGACTTGGTTGAACTCTACTGATCACTGCTTTTCACTAGAACTCCAGGAAATATCTCTTGAAGCCAGTCACTAGTGAGCATATGTTATTAGTTTGATAATAATTACTTTAGTTGTTGTTTTAATCTAATCAAATAATTAATACAATTACTTATATATACAATATTAAAAAGTTATTCATTTAGTTGTTGTTTTAATGTGGAATTTTAATATAATAATATAAGTAAGTGTTATATCCCAAAGAGAATTATGAATGGTAACTTTTAAGGACTATTTATGGATCAATACTTAATTTAGTAAGTTAACTAATTAAATTATTCATATTTGCATCCATCTTACTATAAGCCTCCAAATGCCCTGATACAGCCGAGAGTGGGGAGAGTTCACTCTCCCTCTCCAAATGCTCTCACATAGCCACGCGTATATAGCTTCTGACAGGGAATTCCTACTCACCGCCTTCTCTCAGCGGGGGTGTTGTTTACGAAATTGAGAGGACAAAAAGTGAATGTCTGGCGCTTTAACCGGGATGGTGGATACGACGAGTCCACGTAGAGGAATTAGAAAACCCTCATTCTAAACTAATGATGTATATGGGCTCCAGGATCCTCAGGAAACAAATGGCGTATGAATCAATTGTTGGTCACCGACTACAATGGGACTGCATCTCCTCACGATGCTACACTGCCTTGTGGATCAGAATATTAGGTCAAAGGCTCGGGGTGCGGTCACCTAAGAAAACCACCTGCTTCCGTTTGGGCACCTGGACAGTATCACAGCCCTCACGCAGATCAAATGAGATTTGTGTGGCGCATATGTATCTGGTGCTCCTTTGTACCGATATTAATGTGTTTAAATAAATAAATAAATAAAATAAGCTTCACTTTTGCTCATAGACTATTACTATACAGTCCTTGAGTTATCCTTAGTCTGTTAATTACTGTTCCCCACATTGATAGCCACATTTGACCAAATCTTGTATAAATGTTGTTTCCTATTTTATGGTATAATACGATTTGTCTGGTTGGTATATAAACCTAATTTATTTGAAATATAATGATTCATACCGCAGAGCCTGTTATTAATGTTCTGGACTTAACTGGCTTGTCTAGGCAGAATTCAGGATCGACAAGTACTCTAAACTGTTCGTACAGTTTTCATGTATCCCTACTCTGATTAATAAATCGCTACTCTCTTTAATTGGCGTCGTCGTCACATCTGTATCAAACATGGCACTCAATCGTACAAGATATAACAGTAATTATATAACCATTGATTACAAAAAAAAGAGTTATTCATTTAGTTGTATTATTTATGATATAGATATATAACTTACTTTTACTTTGAGGGGGAACAAAAAAGGAGGAATTTTCCAACAACAACAAAAAAGGGAAATATAGATATTACTGAAATAAAATGATTTCAGTAGAACTTCATATTTAAATGATGATCATGTAACTATGTACTTTTAAAAAGTTAAATTATTGGTTAATTCTAATGATTGTTTTAAATAAAAATGAACAAAAATAATAAATAGAAAGAATTAAAACAATTGAATACTGATATTATTGTTCACCTTTATTTGGAGTTGTCAAGGTGAAACAAGAAGAAGAAGAGGGAGAGGAAGAGGATTGAACATATTACACTAAGAAATACAAAATAGATATAAGAAGAACAAACAACAATTGAATAAAACTACAAAAGAATAACCTAGGACATAGTGATCAGGTTGGGAGAATGCTTGTCAGTGATGGCCTATACTTCATTAAAGGGGAGGGGAGGGGTAACAGGCATAAGTAACTAAGTAAGTAAGTATTATTGTTCATCATTTTTTTTATTTTTCTAATATACATTCGTGGTATATACATACTTAAATATATAACCATTTTGATGTTTTCTTTTCTTTCTTTTCTTTTTTTGTTTTTCTTCATGTTTTTTAATTGTCAATAATATGAAATTCAATATAAAAGAATATTTTAAACAAATAATACGATAAAATTAGTGGACCTTGAATTTGTTTACTTTTACTTATCACTATGGTAGTAAATGTGGTGTAGGCTACTTATATCTATATAAGTAGTATATGGTGATGATCAGACATAGAATGTACTTTTGTCAGAAGACCGATAAAGAAAAGAACTGAAATGAAGCGCAATTGGTAGGAAAATGCATGAACAATGAAATTAGACAAGATGGATTGATATTTACAGAAGGAACAATGAATATTGAGACAATCAGTTGTTATTTTGCAAATTAACTATTCATTGTATGGTTAACAGAATTTAGTGAGATAGTCTGTAATTTGTGCTTAATTACATTCGATTGTCCTCAACTAGTGTTCTGTTCATTACATAAGTACATTTCACAAATACATAAAATACATTTAAACTGTCTGATCAAGTTACTTAGTATTGTTTGTTTGTATTTCCCCATTGATGTTTAGGACTGCAACTGATCAGTCTCTTATTATAACGCGATGGCGTTTGAAGAGAAAGGTACTGGGTTCGAGTCCCAGAGTGCATATCAACTCTGAGATACAGGTACATCCAACTGACGAGTTCCAAAGAGGACGAAACGCGCGTCCTGGATTCCACTGCTAGCCACTATTCATCTTTGCTTATAACGTCTGATCAAGGTTCATTTATTAAAACAAAATTGAAATATGTGCTGATATTTTTTCGTATTTTTAAAACAATAAATTTACAAAGATACATGAAAACTATTCACATGCTTAAAATTAATTGATTATCAGTTTGGAATTAAG